GTTTTAGTTGATGAATATTCATTTTTTCTTTTCGAACGTCCAATAGTCGGCCTGGCTTGACCCAGTGATATATGAATATTCATAAGACCAATATTAAATGAGTGCTCTGATTGGCCATTCGCTATGTTTTAGTAGGTTGACCCGGAAATATATCGGCCGGGTCAGGTCATAGATTACTAGTTTGAATGGATGAACGTACCGTTTCACGGTTCTGAGATAAAAATTGGATAACTCATATAAGTAAGTCCGTAAATTTCGCATTTTAAAATAAGAAATAAAAAGATGCATAAATGTAGATAGGATAAAAATATTCATATTTTTATTGAGAAAATTAGATCTAAATATTGAACATCGGGGGAGAAAGTCTCCGACTCGTCCGAGTAAAAAGAGGTACAGAATTTGGCCAATTTATCCACCCCCCCCCCTGGTGCGAGTCGTCTAGATTACCGTCTGTATATGGGGAATGTCAACAAATGTCAGTTTTATTAAAGAAATGACCCATATCAGACGGTTATTTCTGTCTAGGGTGGGACACGCTTCACATGCGTCGAATCCTCGACCAATGCACCCTTCTATACAAGATCCATCACCGTCTTGTTTCCATGCATACCTGCACTTCGGAAGACACGACCACAACCTGAAGTATGTAATTCCTGTTGCAACTATCGACTCCTTCAAGTTCTCATACTACCGAGAGAATTTGTTTGATTTTTTTCCTGGAATAAAATCAAACAAGTTCTCTCTGACGATCCAGATAATGTCGAAGGAATTATGTCCCTATCAGGGATTTGCAAGTCCTCAAAACCTCGTCTCAAATCTCATCTGTAGCAGCAAGACGAGTTCAAAAGACTCCGTGGTTTTCTCTCTTTAAAAGAAAAATTGAAGCCCTCGTTTTATACACAACACATATGGGGTGAATAAAAAAAGTTCAAATTTGAAAACAAAAAGTGACTGCAATTTTGCTAAAAGTGAATATTTTGCCACCATTTACTTTTAGGAAAGATTTCAATTATGATTTTTACAACATTTAGGCCCTTTAACAAGTGTTGAGATTTTCAGGGTTTTAATCCTTGCAACGCCCTTTAAGGTAAGGAAATGGTGTGTCCTGGCGAGGAAAGAGACGGTGCACGCCCTAGCCCCCACACTCGTTTGAAGGCCCCCAAAAGGTTTAATTTGAAGAGGATTCTCAGCGTGCGGACAGGCTAGGTACATTCGACCCATCCGGTTTTTTATCATTTGCTTGATGTGTCACTGTAAAACATCAGTGATATCGATTTGTATTGAATTCTGGACATAATCGTTATGAAGAAAATCAAAAATCAAACGTGCATAGCAAGAAAAGAGGACATGTAGAGGTAAGCCCTTATATCATTTCAAAATCAGAAAGCATTCTTCGCTTCGAAAATATTGGAATACAGTCATAAGCATTTGTCAGAAATAGAAAGATTTTAGGCTTCAATATAAGCAATATTAGATTTGACTTTCATTCTTTGAATCTTACGGGATATATTATAAAGTTAATTTGTCACAGAAATAATTATATACATAGGCCTAAACATAATTATGCACACATACTACTGTTAACAACTAAGTTATTCATAGCTTTACCAATTTTTGTATTATTTTCAGTACGTGAAAACATGATTTGTCCCAATGTATGAGTCTTGAGAACGTGACATATTAAAGCCTACATTTAAAAGTATTCAACAAAGACCCTAGGTCAACCAGTCCACCATTCATTCTTGAGTTACGAAAAACACAAAACACATCAAATTTACAAAGGGTATGAATATATTTAGTTGTTAATTGTATACATACCTCCACTCGCGAAGCCGAACAGCATGTAACATATTAGAGGTATCACCACGACAACATAAGCACAATAAAACGATCCCATGTTGACTTATGTTCTCATCCAACTCTTTCTAAATCCAAGTCAAGATGCGTAATCAAAAACCAAGATGATCCTTTTAAAAAATGTTCAGTTGTCTGCACATTTCGTCGCGTTGGAGATGAACAAGGCAAAACCGTTGATGGCGTTTATCATTCCTAATAACCCGCGAAACTCGAAGATGAAATGATCGCTATCGATCACTCCGTCTCAGTATGGCGTCGTTCAGTCTGATGATGCCGTGAATTATTGTTGAAATTGTTGGTCATAGTATCTGCAAGACAATCGGCCAAATACAAACATCAACTAATACTGCCCTTTGGATGGTATTTTGCATGCATCTTCACCGCACACGTTCCTTGTGTCATGTGTGTGAACTTGAAGGCAGTAAAGAAATATAAATGTTTGAATCTTACACATGCAGCATATGATTTAACAAAGATAAAGAAACACAATAAAATCATAGCATAGTAGTTCTCAAATGGGTTGGGGGGGGGGTACACTAATAAAGGTATTTAAAATTTGGTTTAGCCGGGGGCACATCCACTTTGCCCCAATCCAGCATTGATCTGCTCAAGTTCATTTGCTACAAGGCAATGTATATTTTGCGGAAGAAAGTAAATATGCTCACCAGGAAGTTCATCAAGACACAGCCTTCGCTGCTTCCTGAAGCTATTTCTCCCTTATTACTTGAAAATGAATCGGGAGAAACGGAGAATAGTATAATTTATCAAGGTTCAACAGCCTAATTGACCTTTTGATAATTAGTACCAAACAATTCAAATGTATAACCTTCATTATCAATATCGACATTAGCGCAAACACACTGAAGCAATTTGGTTTCTGGATATTGACAGTTTAGGGTATTGTCTGAATCTCTTTTTCCCTCTTTTTATTTATTTTTCTTCACCCATACCATCCAACTCCTCCATCTCTCTCTCTTTATTTTCCTCTCCTTCTCTCTTCATTCTATCTCTCCCTCTTTCTCTTTCTTCTCCTTCTCTATATTCTCCCATTCCTTTTTCCTTCGTTTATGGGCCTAATTTTTCTCAATCCCTTTCCTTTTGGATTATGCCATATTGAGTTTCCCAACACTCGCAACATCTCCATTTAAAACAAGAGCTCAAACAATTATCGTTTGCTCATTTTCTTCCCCCTCTTTTTTTACCTAAATGTTTGATTTAAATTTACTTATTGGTCTATATCTTTCAGTTTCCCAACACTCACAACATCTCCATTTAAAAAAAGAGCTCAAACAATTATCGTTTGCTCATTTTCCCCGCTCTTTTTTAAAACCTAAATGTTTGATTTCACTTTACTTATAGGTCTATATCTTTCAACCTCTCTCTCTCTCTCTCTCTCTCACCGTCTCTCTGTCTCTCTTAAATTTGCCGTTCCCTTCCGCACCATTAAGTATAACAATTTCAAGCCAAGTATAAATTTAATATGGGATCTTCGTCCTTAGATTGTATTCATCATTCATGATTTAAAGATAAAACTCTAAAATGACTCTTGGTAACAGTCATGAAATGAAAAAGTTAAATTCATATCCTTCATGATACACTGATGCAAAAAGGTTCAATCGTCAAACAATAACCTAAAGCCGTTGGATTTTTCATTACAGTTTTTATTACAAAATAAAACACAAAAAAGAATCGCCATCGTCACCGAGTTAAATTACAATTCCCTCGGTGATCAAGATGTCTTTGAATGACGTCATTATGCTTTGTTCCTTCATTTTAACAAGAGTAAACAGGAAAGGTGGCACAGTAACTGAATGATGTTCTGAGACTAATTAACAAATCGTGTACGACTATCGGAATTTTACATGACGGATAATTGTGCATAACGATCAACTGATTTTCACCCACGGTTGCTGTCCCCCGAAAACACCACCAAGGCATAACCACAATAAATCTTTACGCACTGTTAGGCCTTGTAAGCCCAACTACAATCCGGTTAAGTACGTGCACGATGTGTCACTGTTTGATTGAAAGGTTTGATTAAACACTTGCATAATCGCTATTTTATGACTGAATTGACATAGACTACAATCATGTGATTAAAAAGACATGTACATGAATTTACCAATAAAGGAATACAACAATGCAAGCATTTTCTAAGTACATTAATAAATCGTTGGACCTTTTTGTACACTGTCGCTTATATAGTTGGAATATTTTCTTTTTATACCAATTTATGGAATTATTTTGAAAATGATTTATTGATCTAGATCTAGATAATAGTATACATTCTCAGATTTTATTGAATAATAATTTGCCAGTATTTGTTTATGTGTATGCTACTATGCTTATCAACTAGGGGACCTACGCCCTTAAGTCATAAATGACAGTAATGAGGATTAATGCCCCACAAAAGGGCACTAACACAGCACATCGACACGGTTTTGATCATGGGGCCTCATAGTTGCAAGGCCATTGCTTTGCCACTGAACCATGACTATACGCAGCGGGGGCTAGGGTAGGGGACAGTTCCCACAAAAAAAAGAAACAAAAAGAAGGAAAATGCAATAAACTATCAATAATTCATTGAATCCCCCCGGTCCCCAACAGAAAGAAAAAAAAAATCTTCTGTGTGCCCATGCCTTGAGCCATAATGCATGGCCGCACCTATATGAGCGACAGTGTTCTAAGGACTACTTGACACCGTTCATAGTAATGTGAGATTCCATAGAGCCTTCTTCGTATATCTCACAATGTCTAGACAGCGAAACGTTGATCTACAATCGTTGTTCGCTGTCCGCATGGTTAAAGCGACCACACTGTCATACTATTCACAAGCAATAAGCCATTTTCTAGAGATACAGAGAATAATAATAAAATTGTGATTGATATTATCAGAGAAATGAGCGCCGTCCAATATAAACCATTTCATCGATATCTAGAAAAAGTACAATCATAAAATATGCTCATTCATTTTGTACGTGTTACATTCCATGTTATTCTGTAAATTTTCCATACCCCCTGCAGCCCCTAGATAACACTTCTGATTGGCTGATGAGTAGGTGAACACGTGACACCCCTCCAATGAGCTGCACTTGACCGCGCAGTGTAATGGAGTTCGAATCTTGTCAAGGGTTCTTATCAAACTAGGTTCCGGCAGCGACCGGCCAGCACTGGCTAATGTAAACGAGTGCTCTCTGTTTCTGGTTGTTGCTGTTGCAGATGTTGATGACGTCATAGATGACGTCAATGTTGGAGTGGCAGGTATGCGTTGGCTCGTAGTGGGAGGACTTTCTGTAGTCACAGCAGACGTCTGAGGGTTTGTAGTCATCAAACTAGACCGTGTAGTCAATGCACTTGGAGAGGTGCTCAAGATTGTTGTAGGATCAGTGGAAGTTGATGTCGTGGTCACAGATGTTGCCGGTGTGGTGGATGATGTGGTAGTATATTGGCGTATAGTGGTATGAGGTTCTGTTGTAACTACAGCCACTGCAGTCGTCGGGGCAATCAATGTTGATGAACTGAGAGAGGTGCTAAAGATTGTTGTAGGATCAGTGGAAGTTGATGTAGTGGTCACAGATGTTGCCGGTGTGGTAGATGATGTGGTAGTATATTGGCGTGTAGTGGTATGAGGTTCTGTTGTAACCACAGCGATTGCAGTCGTCGGGGCAATCAATGTTGATGAACTGGGGGAGGTGCTAAAGATTGTTGTAGGATTAGTGGAAGTTGATATCGTAGTCCCAGATGTTGCCGGTGTGGTGGATGATGTGGTAGTATATTGGCTCGTAGTGGTAAGAGGTTCTGTTGTAACTACAGCCACTGCAGTCGTCGGGGCAATCAATGTTGATGAAGTGCTCGACATTTGGTAAGTGGTCATGGCTTCGGTGACTGCAGTTGTGGATACCTCTACAAATAAACGAGATATTAGACAACTGTAGAAAATGAAGAAAAAAATACATATTCGGGCACCTCCTACCCAAATTCCCATGACTAGTATAAGGCTATTCAGGCACCTTGCTGCCCGTATTTTAGGTGGCGGTTGCCAGGAAAATCAAAACTTTAAACTCCAAGGGGAACAGCCCCATAGCACCCCTACTAGTTCAGGCATTCAGTTAGGATAGGAAAAATTGATTGTGGAGCAATTGTCGCTGAAACTTTACAAAACGTGTGTGTGTGAGTGTGGTTGGGTGTGCGTGTTCGTGGTGGAGGGGATGGAGGAGGGGGGGGGGGGTATACTGGCATAATATATAATATTTAAGGGCTCACCCATATCGGCCTCGCATAAGAATCGATGTGATATCGAGCAGTCCTCACTTTGAAGCATTGAGCCATAGACGATGATTTCGCAATCGCTCTGAAATAATATTCAAGTTCACGTTCACTTTTATTTTCCATAGAATTCTTTTTTCTCCAAATACAAAATAGAATTCATATTTTGCAACACCATTCATTGATAAACTTATAAATAATAGTATAAATAATCTCGTCCATTAGTAAAATCATAAACAGTAAAGCATACGTGAAAGTTAATTACCTCATAAGGAATAGGTTTAAACGTTTCATCATTCACTGTATAAAGTATAGTAATTGCGGAGTAATTGTTAAAGTTAATTATTATAAAAGGTATATTTTGTTACCGAAGGTACTCCGTTAAATGCGTTCTTAGCCCATATAGCCAGTGCTGAAGTTACACCAACCCGTGAACTAAAGTAATTATAAACTGTATCCAACTCCGACTGAGAACCAAACGAAGCTAGATAGCGACCGGCACCGATGACCGGGCACTCCATCTCAGCTCCGTACGCTGTCTTCTGTATGGAGTTGTCAAAGGAGTAACATGACCCTGCTATCTCGTGCATCCCAGAATCACACTCTGATAATCAAACGGAAAAAGATATCCAGGGTAAAACAAAAATATATATATATGTAAACGGAGGTACCTGGTAGGATAATAAGGGGGGAGGTGATTTCTTTTGGGGAAGGGGGTCTTCGGATTCTTGCATTCATTTTGTACATGTGCCGCTCCCTTTTTTTTGGGGGGGGGGGGGGGAGGCCAGAACCGCCACTATCTGGTGACCTCGCTTGCATTCGTAATCATGTGAATAAGGGACAACCAGTTTTTGTCATTTGAGAAAAAATACACATTTTATTTTGAATTTTAAAAAATGCCGACAGAAAAATGTTGAAAGCAATAGAGAGGGGGGGGGGGGGTATCGACTTCATCATCCCGTCTTCCTTAAGTTACCCTTTAATTTTAATGCTATCTATTCTCATTTTGACATGAAACAATCCAGATTAACCAAATAAAAATGAAATTCACATAAAATTGTCGACCTGAGTAACACTATATTGTCCTTTAAACGCGAAGCCCTAATATATCTATTTCATTTTAAATCACACAGCCTACAACAGACAGTGCTTGTAAATATACTAGCTTCGATCTTCTTTTTTATTTATGTTGTATCCTACTAAAATGGTAACGTTATTATCATTATCATCATCATTATCATAATTATTATAAGTCGTAGAAGTAGTAGTAATAGTAGTAGTAGGAATAGTAGTATTAGTATTAGTAGAGTATTAGTAGTAGTAGTAGTAGTAGTAGTAGTAGTAGTAGTGGTAGTAGTAGTAGTAGCAGTAGCAGTAGTAGTAATAATAATATAATTATTATTAGTTGTATTAGTAGTAGTAGTAGTAGTAGTAGTAGCAGTAGTAGTAGTAGTAGTAGTAGTTGTAGTAGTAGTAGTAGAAGTATAGACATGATAAATACAGAATTGTTATATCAATGCCAAGTTAAAATGGATAAAATATATTCTTTAATAACTACTACATAACAAAATCGAAAAATCAACAAACAAAAAACACCGAAACTAGTGAGGAGGGCATGGAGTCATGAATACATACCTCCACTCGTCATACCAAACAGCATCCCGCAAATCACCATGACAACGTGGATGAGATGAAAACATTCCATCTTATCTAACATGATGTATTCACAGCGGCTCCATCATGCATCTAACGCGAATCAAGAGCAGACGGTTATATGATGCATTTTAATTTACTTCTTTGTCCACTGTCCATGCATTCGAATTTCTTAGAGGATGGACAATGAGGCCGAATATCTTCCCGCACGCACCAGCATGACATAATAGGGACTTTTAGATTTTCGTGGACTGATACGTGTGACGTCCACTCAAGGCAGTGCATTAAAAGGACGTCGATCGTAGCAATCCACGTTGTCGTTGTGCAAATCTAAAAGTCCCTAATTATGAAACGATGTCTCCGCGTACAGGTTAGGCGTAATTAACAACGAGTTGGGTTTTTCATCAGACCTTAGCCTCTTTTCTTTTTACTTAATTACTTCAACTCGGTCACTGTTCATCTACATCAATAAAAAGAGGGATTTACATGAATACCGATTTTATGTTCCCATGCAATATTCTAAACATAAAATAGAAAAAGGAGTTAATGATATTGATTTGTCTCGGCTTGGTAATTACTCGAGCGAGGTATGGTCGTGTTACAAGTTGCTTATAGAGTAGTTGCTCAATTCACATAAAGCAGCTGAACATCCCATTAATTATTGATTGCGATAAATTAATTAATTCAATATAAAAAGCAAGTGAAGGTTTATGAAAACTGAAGTAAAGAAAGTGTAGAGTGGGGTAGATTATATTTGTATCTATTTCGTATTACTTTACGATTATGATTAGTATCATCACTATTTCTTTACTCTTATTATTATTATCATTATTATTATTATTATTATCATAAGTTATTTATATCATTGTTATCATCAAGATTTTTTTTCATCATAATATTAATTTTGTGTGAAACACCCCCCAGGTTTTGTAATGCTTTTAACAAGTCATCTTAACTACTAAATCGCTATAATCACCATCTTCCTCGGCCTTTCTAATCGACGGCCCTCCGCAGAATATACGCTGTTCCAAAAAGGCTCGCCTTCTTTGTTGTTTCAGATGAATGATAATAATCATTACTTTTTCAAATAATAATCATTATCTTTATTATTATGATGATAATAATAACCCGTATCGATATTATTGTAGCTATTGCTACAATGATATTGGGGAAGGATTCTTTCTAATAATCGTTTAAAAGGTAGACTTGTTAGTAGGCTTGCCTGTTTTCATTTATACATTATATGCCATTTTTGTTAGACGTCATAAGTTAGAATCGGACAATTTAAGCTAAGGTCACACAGGTTCGTACGAATGATGCGTTCGTACGAATCTCCCTGGTTTTCCATTGTCTTTCCGAATTTCCATTGTCTGAAAATCGTTCGTACGGCGGTCGTAGCAGTTCGTAATGGCATTTGTGACCGAGGCTTTAGTTGATATTTGTTCGTGTTATTATAATTAGTATTACAGAGAAACACACTTGTGTCGCTCACTCAAAGATAAATTATCACGATTAAAGTGACAGAAAATATAAAATTACATTACACGACATTTTTTATATAAATGTTTAATACTGAAACAAAATAATCGTTTATAATTTGAAATGTAGATTTTTCAAATTAATCTAATATTAATGTACATTTTAATTTCCAACCTTTTAACAAATAAATTTTAAAATATACAAAGATTATTAAAAAAATGTTTAACAATGCATAACTATATTTTTTGTGACGATCAAGATTTTGATTTGCCTGTAAATTGTCACATGATTCATTAATCGATCATAGTTGTGACCATAGCTCACTGAGAGGGAGAGATAGTTTCAAGTTTCAAGTTTTATTTATCTTTCTTTCATAGCACACATAACAAATATGACATGAATATAACAAGTGAACAGAATATGGCGTTACAATAGAAAGATGAGGTGACCTTGGTTGAAAGCAAGGCTTGTGGATTTAAGGTCCCTCATGAGTAGCTTATGAGTATGTCCTAAAAAAACAAACTCGTCAGATAAGAATAATGCGTACATTTAAATTCTTACAAACTAAACTAACTTAACCTAGCTAAAGAAAGCTTGAGGGTTCTTCTACATGTGCCGCTCCCTGATTTTTTTTTTTTTTTTGGGGGGGGGGGGGGGGGGGCTAGAACCGCTTCCTCGGGTGACCTCGATTGCATCCGTACGTACTCATGCAAATAATAGACTAACAATTGTTGTCATTTGATTTAAAAAATATATTTGTATTCTAAAAGAAAAAATACCGACAGGAAATGGAAGGGGGGGGGGGGGTGGTGGATATCAATGTTTTCATGAACTTGATGTGGAATTTATAAAAAGTCTAAAATACTTGAATTTTCACAATTGAATATATTTTATTTTGAGGCTACGAATAGTATGGTGGCCCTGAAGGGACATCGCGAATAGACTAAATCGTGAAAAATATGCGATAAAATTCACGATATCGTCAATTTTATCGCATATTTTTCACGAAGAAATTCACGAAATTGACGATATCGTGAACTTTATCGTGAACTTTTCACGATGAAATTGACGATATCGTGAATTTTATCGTGAAAAGTTCACGATATAAAGTTCACGATATCGTCAATTTTATCGTGTACTCTATCGTGTACTCTATCGTGTACTCTCCTGACGGGCGCTTCGTAAACAAAACCAGCCCTAGCTGGGGGAGACAGAGAGAAGGAAAAAAGGGAAAGGGAAAGAGAAGATAAAAGGAAAGAAAGAATAATAAGAAGAAAAGAGGGAAACGGGGGGGGGGGGCGAAGGGCTCTTGCCTCCTCCTCACTCCCCCCCCCCCCCCTCCCCGCCAAAAAATAAATCAGAGAGAGAGAGAGAAGGGAAAGGGAAAGGGAAAGAGAAGATAAAAGGAAAGAAAGAAGAGGAAGAAGAAGAAAAGAGGAAAACGGGGGAAGGGCGAAGGACTCTTGCCCCCCCCCCGCCAAAAAATAAATCAGAGAGAGAGAGAGAAGGGAAAGGGAAAGGGAAAGAGAAGATAAAAGGAAAGAAAGAAGAGGAAGAAGAAGAAAAGAGGGAAACGGGGGCAAAGGGCTTTTGCCTCGTCCCCCCGCCCCCCGCCAAAAAATAAATAAGAGAGAGAGAGAGAAGGAAAGGGAAAGAGAAGAAAGAAAGAGAAAAACGAAAAAGAGGGAGAATAGGAAAGAAAGGAAAAGAAAGAAAAGAAAGGAGGCAAGAGCCCTTCGCCCCTGTTTCCCTCTTTTCTTATTCTTTTTCCTCTTCTTTCTTTCCTTTTATATTTTCTTTCCCTCTCCCTTCTCTTTCCCTTTATGGCGGGAGGGGGGAGGGGGAGGTAAGAGCCTTTCGCCCTTCCCCCGTTTCCCTCTTTCCGTCTTCTTCTTCTTTCTTTCCTTTTATATTTTCTTTCCCTTTCCCTTTCCCTTCTCTCTATCTCTCTCTCTCTCTCTCCTATTTATTTGTTGGCGCGGGAGGGGGGGGGAGGAGGCAAGAGCCCCTCTTTTCTTCTTATTCTTCTTCCTTTCCTTTTTTATTCTCTTTCCCTTTCCCTTCTCTCTCTCTCTCTCTTATTTATTTTTTGGGCGGGGGGATGCAAGAGCCCTTCGCCCCCGTTTCCCTCTTTTCTTCTTCTTCTTCCTCTTCTTTCTTTCCTTTTATCTTCTCTTTCCCTTTCCCTTTCCCTTCTCTCTCTATCTCTTATTTATTTTTTTGGCGGGGGGTGGGGAGGGAGGAGGCAAGAGCCCTTCGCCCTTCCCCCGTTTCCCTCTTTCCTTCTTATTCCTCTTCTTTCTTTCCTTTTATATTTTCTTTCCCTTTCCCTTCTCTCTCTTATTTATTTTTGGCGGGGGGGGGGGGAGGAGGCAAGAGCCCTTCGCCCTTCCCCTGTTTCCCTCTTATATTCCTCTTCTTTCTTTCCCTTTCCCTTCTCTCTCTCTCTCTCTCTCTCTCTTATTTATTTTTTTGGCGGGGGGGGGGGGGGAGGTAAAAGCCTTTCGCCCTTCCCCCGTTTCCCTCTTTCCTTCTTCCTCTTCTTTATTTCCTTTTATATTTTCTTTCCCTTTCCCTTTCCCTTCTCTCTCTCCTTATTTATTTTTTGGCGGGGGGGGGGGGTGGGGGGAGTGAGGAGGAGGCAAAAGCCCTTCGCCCCCCCCCGTTTCCTTCTTTACTACTTAATATTCTTTCTTTCCTTTTATCTTCTCTTTCCCTTTCCCTTTTTTCCTTCTTTCTGTCTTCCCCAGCTAGGGCTGGTTTTGTTTACGAAGCGCCCGTCAGGAGAGTACACGATAGAGTACACGATAGAGTACACGATAAAATTGACGATATCGTGAACTTTATATCGTGAACTTTTCACGATAAAATTCACGATATCGTCAATTTCATCGTGAAAAGTTCACGATAAAGTTCACGATATCGTCAATTTCGTGAATTTCTTCGTGAAAAATATGCGATAAAATTGACGATATCGTGAATTTTATCGCATATTTTTCACGATTTAGTCTATTCGCGATGTCCCTTCAGGGCCACCATAGAATAGCTCTCCATAATTTAGAGTTAAGTTCGACTCAAGATCTTTGTGAAATACCCCCAGGTTTTGTAATGATTTCAACAAGTCATCTATTAAATCCTTAATCGCTATAATCACAATCTTATTCGGCCTTTCTAATCGACGGCCCTCCGCAGAATATGCGCTGTTCCAAAACAGGCTCGCTTTCTTTATTGTTTCAGATGAATGATGATAATCATTACTTTTTTTTCAAATAATAATTATTATCTTTAATCTTTGTTATTATGATAATAACCCGTATCGATATTATTCATATCTCAGCCAAAAACATATTCAATAGTTTTTCGACATTTGGACATCATTTTCTATGCTCTTTCGGAAAATGGAGAACAAATGGAGAAATTCCCAAAATAGATTTTTATGTCACGTACAGCTTCATCAACTTCATGATGATTCATCATCCCGTTTTCCTTAAGTCGCCCTTTGATTTTTAGGCTATCCATGGAAACTGCATTTTTTCTTCTTTTCTTATCATCTGTTTGGTTTTCTATCGCTCATAATGATATACGATTGTACAAAATTACATTGAACCATTCTCAGCGTGTTTTTCTGGTTTGTGCTTGTATGTTTTTTCCCGGAAAGTCTTCGGACGCGCGAGTTCAGTCGCCTAAGCCGGGTCTCTGTGTTTCTTTTGTCGGGGTTTGTGCGATGTACACTATTTTATGTTGCTGGTTGCTAGGTGGGAAAACCTAGATTTGTTCGACCTGGCAACGACAGATTGATGCCTTGGCGGGGGAGACCCGGGGATCTGGCGCGGGTGGGTGAAATCGCGCGTCTTTGGTCTCTCTGGGAGCAGACATGTGCAGGATTTGATGCTCGCTGTATGACGATGGTCTTGTACTTATATACTGGGAATCTCGCTCAAAAAGCCTAGCTTTTTTGAGATTCCCTTTCCCCCCTGTCAGTTAAATAAGCAATATAATATATTTTGTCTTATTCTACAACTTAAATGTACTCTGTAAACTATTACGTATACATGCTTACCAGTATTTCGTTACTTGTTTAGTTCATTTTGTTCTATTATATATTGTAATACTGTATGGTTTATAATGTCATTTCTCGGTCATCTCTCGATTTCCCCTTCCCCTATCACTTGTCTGGTACTTCGACTTAATTTATTTAAAAATATAAATTAACCAGTCTAATCATACATTTTCGTAATGAATATCTGGACAATTAATTTTATGTAAATATGTCGCCTATTTTGCTCCAGAAGAGTCGTTAGGTCAGCGTTCAAAATGTCATACTCCTAGATAAGACACGTACATGCTAATACATGCCCTCAAAACATGTGATTATTATTCCGATGTGTAGGCTCAAATGTGATGGAAATAACTTAATAATCAAACAAACATTTTGTAGAAAGTATTATTTAGTCGGTCTATCTTATTTAAAGTGCCAAAAAAAGGAAATATTACTACTGGCTACCGCAAAAAAACAAACAACGTTAAGCCCATATCTAAAAATGGCAATGGGCATCCAACATTATTTGTCCCGAATGTGTGATATAGGGTAGTTCATTCATTGACGTCACACTATCGCATGTGTTTTATCGCCGTCATTTCAATTTGTGATTGGGTTCTGGAAAGGGTACATGGCTCGTTTCCCATCTGGGATGGGATTAACTGCACACACACGTCGTCTTCTAGCACAAAGCACCTGCATGGTCTTTAAAATACACCACCAGCTAGTCAATTGTTGTCTTCCTCACCTCATAACCAAAGCTACATACATCAGCAGAAGAGACCACACACTCAAGCTCTCTGTTCCTGAGGCAACAATAGACTCCTACCAGTGGCGGATCCAGGCCCAAAAAAATATGTTAAAATCAGCCCTAAATTCGCCCAAAATGTACTGAAAAACTGGGGCGTGCCCCCCGGCCCCCCAAATAAAATATGTCAATGGCTGACCTAAAATGGTGACATTACCCCCCTCCCAACGGAGCAAAATGTCAAATTTAAAAATCTCGCGACCAAAAAAAAAAAAAAGTGTCCTCTAACCCCTCGCCCCCCCCCCCACCGCTTTTTCAGTCGCTTGCTGAGTCATTGCGATTTTTTTGGGACTAAAACAAAAATATATATATGTTCTCTTTTCCACCGTGTGCCCCCTGTGTGCCCCCCGTGTGCCCCCCGGCAAGAAATTCCTGGATCTGCCCCTGCCTACAAGTACTCATTTTATCCCCGCACCATTCGCATCTGAAATCAACTACCAGCCACTGCAGTGTTATCAGAGGGTTGGAACTTCCTGTAGGTTCCAGAATGCTGTAAACCATATAGCAGCATGATTTTTTTTTATTTTTTAACTTGCACGTCACTGTTTTACTGTATAAAGAAACTGTACACCCTTTTGTTGTCTGCACCTTCACCTGCTGTCACAACACATCCCATCCCAGTATAGCTTGGAAAAGCTGCTTCAGGGATTACCTCATCAAGTATCGATCAAGGGTGTCAAAATTGCATTCATTTTATTCTTCACACTAGTGAGGGCTTAAAAAGGTCTTTACTCATTTTCTTAATACTCTCAGCAATCTGTAGATGTATAATTTAGCTATTTTCAATGCAAACTCAGTGGAGCAGTGCAGAGGGTATTAGTAGTGCTATTAATTTTGTATTAATTAGAGAAACGTACTTGCGCCGCTCACTCAAAGATATCTTTCGTGTTACGAGGTTTGTAACAATAGATTTATAATGTTTCCACTAAGAAATGCAATTTATATATAAATTCTTAATATTAAAACAAATGTATGCTTACTAAATGTAAAATGTAGATTATTCATCCTACTTCAATAACAATCAACATTTGAATTTACAACTTGAATATGCATAATTATTAAAAATAAAAGATTTTTTCAAAGAATTGCTTTAAAATGAATGACTATACTTTTTGTGGCAATCAAGATTATGATGCTGCCTTCAAATTGTTATCTGATTCAGTAATCGATCATTGTGGCCATAGCCATTGGAAGGAACTATGGTTTTTCCTGTAAGGAAATAGAAAACATATTTTTAAGACTAAGACAGTGTACACTTAACAGTCGATTAAGAGAGTTTCAGTTCAAACTTATACATAATATATTATATACAAACCATCACCTCTTCCGTTTTGGTCTTGTCTCGACTAACTTATGCTCATTTTGCGAAAAAGATGAAGAAACATATAAACATTTATTCTATACTTGTGAATTTGCACAATCAGTGTAGGGAATGTGCACGAGATTTTTAGACTTTGAAATACATAACTGTAGTTTGGAGGAAATTCTGTATGGGAAAGAGGAGAGAAATAAAGGAAAATATCAATTAATGAATCATGTTTTAATTCTTGTTAAATATCTGATTTATAGAAATAGAGAACTTAAAAAACCACCCTCTTTTAATGAAATAAAGAATAGTATAATCGGGGATAAAGTAGAAGAAAGGAAATTGGCAGCAATGAGGGGAACTCTCACTATTCATTTTTCTAAATGGGAAAACCTGAGTATTAGACAAACAATTGGAACCCAGAGCCAGTCGTCCACCGGTTAAGAGGGGGGGGGGGGGGGGGGGGGGGGGTAGGGGGAAAAGGGAGAGGTCGGGTAGGGTAGGGTTAACAAAAAGAGAACACTTTTCTCTCAGGACAACAGTATAAAAAGAAGTATAAGTTGCTACATTGTTAAAACAACATTTTTGGATTATACAACAGCATATGTTTTCTTTGAAAATATGAATTTTTGTTTCAAATATGATGTATAGGAACTAACTATGTAAGTTTCTTTTGAAGCCGTTTGTAAGACAAAAATTTATACTGATTTATAATGTCATCACATTTGCAGTGAGAGTTACATATGATGATTGTAATTTGTACTATGATTATAATTTGTTTCAAGAGAGAAAAGAATAAAAACTGACCATAAAAAAAAAATAGCTCATTGAGAGGGAGAGTTGACACATGACACATCGCAAATGCGCATGCGCGAATTAATAGCGCAGACAACACAATAATCATATTTACCAAATTCAAAATATGCCCCATATCAATGCCAATATAGGCTAATATTCGTAAAAAAATGTTTTTAACTTCAATTTAGATATTTGTCTCAAATTTCACATGTAAAAAACAAAAACAAAAAAAACAACAACCTTCACTGATGAATATTGTGTTACCTTCCACTGCCCAAATGAACTCCTTATCTGATGACAGAAAATCCCAAACTCCGTTTTATCTTACTAACTCCATGATTTTTATTAATTTAGTCTAATATTTCCCTTTTTTCTCCAAATCCCAAGAAAATCACCCGAAATCACAAAATTTAGATTTTTTTTTTACAAGGATTATTTTCTATTTTATTCAGCAAGGCTTTCAAAATATCACAAGATTTTTGGTGAAATAGTTTACCATCTGGCAAAACTGCAGACCTTCTTTCTTCTACTTCTACGTTGATTCTTAGTGGATCATTGTGATTACATTACCAGAGATGGTTTCATTATTTGTTTCGTTCTCTAATGGTCCAAGATACAGCTTAAACCTTATGCATTTGGATGTGATAGGCTGCATATTCATTAACGAGCGAGCCAAAAAATTGTGAAGTCGAGTTACGAAAATTACATCATATTAAGAGGAAAACCTAATTCTGATGGGGTTTTAAGCACAATCTCATCCAAAAAGAATGACAAGACCTTTAATATGGATGAGTATTAAACAAATTTATGGACGAACACGGTATTGTTTTTATAGTATTGGCTACTTAGTAAATTTTCTAGTCCGAGTCTCAAAATTCTGACAAGAAGGAAAAAAAAAATCAAAATGGAATTGGAAATATGAATGATGTATAAGATTTTATCTTCCATTGATTAAGAACAAAGTCAGCAAGTCCATATTTCAAAGCTGTTAAAAGTTATAGACAATATCGTAGGAAATTACTGAATTTATAACCTACATTTCATTCTTGAAAAAAAAATCTTTACTTACACTATTTCGCTCAGTTTCATTTTCTGATTTTCTGTGATGATCGATTGAAGTAAAATTACTCCATTAATTTTAGGCAAAGGCTGCCATCTACGTCTATATTATTATAATTTAGCACAGCTAGCATTGCAATCTGAAATCTGTTCCTAATTGTCGCTAAATTTACTATGTTACGAGCAAAACATCCGCAGTTTTAAATCATTTTAGGAGAGAGTACACCCTCAATCAGTATTATGGTAAGAAATCATTATATTTTAGGTTTTGCCTGTTGTATTTGTAAGAAATTATACACGATTTTTGTTTTAGCGTTACGCCCCTACTGAGAATAAGATGGTCTCTGTGTGTGAACTGCAGCGCTGGCGCTGGCTCAGGTCTGTTGAACGTGAAGGATGACGACGTACATGTAGTTACATGAAGCACTTCTTTACATTTGACTTTTTAATTCCTCCAATGCTTAATCTGATATCATCCCTAATATTCGAAATCTTAAATCTAATGAGAAAGTGTACCAAAAATATCCTCAATATTAAGGCAAAAACAATGCCAGGGCCCAGGCCATATCCAATTTATCATCATTTTTACATTGCAAAAACAAAGGTTCCCCAGTTTGTGCACTCATTCATTTTCAGCAATTTGCAAATTTTTATGTGAAAGATAGCATTATGAGGCTTGTGAATAAATTGAGACATTTTCCAATAGCATTTTACTTGTTTTTTCATGAATAGATAGTCTATGTACATGTACTCCATGCTATGTCAGCATCATTTTCTACTATTTTAGGAGATTAGATCTATCTTCTAAATTCTTTCATCTCTTTCTCATGCTCTCAACCCAGCTTCAGTTTATGCTCCTATTCAGCCGACAAGGCAAGCTGCGTTTGCAGAAATGGTACACACCACATCTAGAAAAGCAAAAGAAAAAGATAACAAGGGAACTCATCGCAACAGTACTAACGAGAAAACCCAAAATGTGCAATTTCTTGGAGTGGAGAGATTATAAAATTGTGTACAAGAGGTAAGTACTCATTAGATATTGAAGGGCGATCCAACCCTTGCAAAAATTTCAATTGTATGAAAGCAGAAAAATTAGAGAAACAGAATGGCAAAAGTTCAAAATGTATCGGACAAACGATAAGGAAGTTGTGAATGTTTGAAATATCAGATCATTAAGTCTATGGGAATCTCACATTGACAGTTTAGTTGGTGGATTATGACGTAGCTTCGTATAACTTACGTTTGTCGTGTACAAAAATATCACTAGTTTATGTTTTTTTTCTCCCTTGGGGCACTACTCCAAAGTTATCATGGATAGAAAATTATTGAAGAGAATAGACGCTCCTGAGAAATATTTTTTGTAAAAATCAAACATCACAACATCACAGGGACATTCCCAATTCAGCCAATTTGAACAGCGCGTACCTAATTTTATAGTGATTACAACTTTCAGAAAAGGTCATAAATTTCTCATTTTTTTATCTGATTTCATTCAAATTCACCAATTCTTGTTTCAGGTATGCCAGTCTTTATTTTTGCTGTGCCATTGAAGAGAATGACAATGAACTCTTGACACTGGAGATCATCCATAGATATGTGGAGCTTCTGGATAAATACTTTGGTAGTGTAAGTATCCTTTATATTTATAGTGCAGTCGAGGTGACAGTGATCAGCGGTGAGCAATATGGCATTCTCTAAAAGGGCTCTGTTCATTTTGAAAAAGAGGGATACATACAAAATAGCTGCAAGGATATTGGTCTTTTCTTTCAGCAAATTTAAGAAGAGCTCTCTTGAAGAAAACGAACCGTACAAACGATTTTCAGACAATGGAAATTCGGGAAGACAGTGGAAAAACGGAGATTCGTACTAACGCATCGTTCGTACGAACCTTTGTGACCGTAGCTTTAGCCTTCCCTTGCTCTCAATACCTTTAAAATATATATCTCAAAAACCACCTTCGGTTTTTCAACAACATAATTGTAAAGTGCATTTGAACATTTAGATGGAAAATGCGCTATATAAATACATTTTTATTATTTTTACTGTGCTGCAACTCCTGCAAGTTTCTACAGACATTTGTGTTCATAACTGTATATGTCCTTTGGCAAGACATTGATCTTCATTTGCCACACTCCACCCAGGTGAAGTAAATGGGGACCTGGTAGGAATATATTCCTTGAAACGCAGCGCGCGTGACAGCTGCACTGCTAAAGCCAGGGTAATTATGGTGCATTATTGTAGAGCGCTTAGAGACTTCTGATAAAGTAAGTGTTAGGCGCTATATAAGCAAATATAATTATTATTAACTATGTCCACTGATTGTGAAGAAAGAAGTAGTTTTCATCGCAATGCTTTGATCATTACAGGTTTGTGAGCTAGACATCATATTCAACTTTGAGAAGGCCTACTTCATGCTCGACGAGCTAATGCTAGGCGGAGAGATTCAGGAGACGAGTAAAAAGAACGTCCTCAAGGCGATACAAGCACAGGATCTATTGTCAGAGGTACGTCCACTATAGCATTTCTAATTTGCATATTTCCTCGCTCACTCTTTTCCTATGATTTTTCCTTTCTGGTCATAAGGATGCTGCTGAGGATATATCATTGTTTGGTTATAGTTTGTATTATTCATGCAACATCATCATTTTCTTTTTTTAAAGTTTTGATTCAGTGTAATATCACCATACGTGCAGCTGTAACCTTTGTTTCTGCTGAAAGCCAGAGGGGCCTTCTAACTCATATTAATTATTTCAAACCGAGTTAAAGCCCTTTTGGTTCTCATGTGATATACACATGAATACAAGGTAGTAGGTTGCTCATAATAATGGAGAGAATGGGGCATTTCTAAATGGTTGGTTACTGAATTTTTTTGTGATACTGTGTATGGCCTACCTTGATTTTATATCCCCACTGAAGGGATGTAATCATTTTAGAGTCCAGTGATAACTTTGTATTTTATAAAAGTTATAAAAAAGTAAATAATGCAGCCTTTACAGTTAGTTGCCAACCTTCCTATTTTAGAGGAATTATTCTTACTTTTTGGCCATCAAACTAATTTTATGGATCCATCATCCTAGATTTCTCTCTTTTGTCAAAACGTCTGTGTAAACAGTATGCAAAATGACTGTTCCTTATGTTTACTTTGAAAGGTTGGCAGGTTTGTTTTAGATTGTGTTCTGCTTCTCATGATAAAGACACAATCAATTGTCACACACAAATAATAAAATAAAAAACTAATGAAATAAAGAAAGAAAATATATATTATTTTTTTCATTGGGAATTGCCCAACAGTATCAGCATCCCCAAATGACTCCCGACGTTTTATTTTTGGCTAAATCTTCATTCAAATGGGTTTCATCCTGAGCTAATTAAAGGCTTCATTTGGGGTGAAGGTGCCGTCATCATTTCTAGCACTATCCTGTTAAAATGGGGCTTACATGTATTTCTGTCGCTTTGAAAATCATTTGAATATGTTTATTAGATCGTGGATTGAAGAAATATGGTAAACGTCTCACTCAGACTGTATGAGGACCCTTGATATGATTTCTCAACATATTTATTTTTTCTTCTAATATTATGAGGTCATGAGAGAAGTTAGCCAAAATAATGTACATGTATGCAAGTTTCTAAACAGATGGGATGATAACCACCTTGTGGTGTTACGAGTTAGACTGATAATGATGATGATGGTGATGGTGGTAGTGGTTGTGATGACGATAATGATGATGATGATGATGATGATGAAAATTGTGATCAATGTTAATGCTGATGGTGGTGATTTTGATGCTGACAGTAATAACGACGATGATGATTGTGGCGGTAGTGGTGGTGGTGATGATGATGGTTGTGATGATCATGATGATTATGGTGGTAATAAATTGATAGTGGTGATGATGATGGTACAATCATGGTAGTAGTAGTGGTGGTGTTAGTGATGGTAATAGTATGGTAATAATGGTGATTAGCAGTTCTTGATCATCATTAAGATGGTTTGATGTTCTTCTGTGCTTGGGGTAATCATATTTGTCAACAACAAAAGGAAACAGAAATAAAAGTAAGAAGGAAGAGACCTCGCACCAAAACTTTGTATAATGATAAATTTCATGGTATGTACATGAACATTATCTACATCTATGCAACTTGAAGGCTGGTGAAACTTATGAAAAGGAATTATGATTACATTAACATGATTTAGTCACATAAAATAAGATTTAAAAATGTAAATTAACTTTTGAAAGAAGTAATATGTTTTGTTGTACTAAGGTTGGGTATCGAGTGTAGAAGGAGCATGTGGTGACTGTTCTTTGCTGCAGTTCATCTTATTTACTGTGTGAAAGATATCTTCATCTCCCGTGAAACTTCTTAGTAGCTGAGAAATTTCTTGGTGAAATTATGCTGCAATGTGCAATGGATTAAGTTTCCAAATTTCTTTATACCACAGCTGGAACTAAGAGGAAAAACCGACATTATCATAACAGATGATCAATTGAACCAGGTACCGAGACATTTCCGAGATTTATATCATGTTCCCTTTTCGTCTTTAGCCGGCAGCTTCTCAAAGGGTATCACTTTAAAAATCTGTGAGACTATGCTTTCTCGGTGTGCTTTACTAACAAACAAATTTCCTTTAGTGTGCTTAGGAGTGAGAAAACACACACTCTCCCTTTCAAGCTTTGCACCGTCAAGACTTTAGCGCCGGATCCCAGCTTCCTTGCCCCGACGTCATGGGGCTCGCAGGCAGCAGTAGTTTTGACTATGTTGGTAGCCAGAAGAAAGGAGAAATTCACTTTGTAGTACCAGGGGGGTGTTTCACAAAGATCCTAAGTCGAACTTATCTCTAAGTTGGACTTCAAAATTATGGATAGCCATTTGTAGCCTTAAAATAAAATAAATTCAAAAGCGAAAATTGAAGTATTTTAGACTTTTTATGAATTTCAGATCCAGAACATCAAATCCCTATGCTAAAAAAAAAAAATGAATGATTTGAATAAACATTTCTTTTAAAATAACTTTTACAAAATATTTTCAAAGATGCTAACAGTTTTCCATAATTGTTAAGTCCAACTTAAAGATAAGTTCAACTCAGGATCTTGTGAAACACCCCCCTGGGCGGTCCACAAACAGAAGTTCAAACACGTATTGGAACGAGGAAGGAGTATGAAATTGATGTATGAAAACTCGAGAAGCAAACAGCCCCTTGTTGCCAGGCTCTAGAGCTTGCTTCGGGTTTCGAGGTTCTTAGATTCACTACGGTGCAATCTAACCCGTATATTTTGAAGCATTTTCACTCAAATTTGAGAACTAATATTTTAGAAACGATTTGGGTATCATTGAATACTAACCTGGTGCTGATTTTCAAACCTACATGCATTAAAAATTCAAACCTACATGCATTAAAAATTGAAACCTGTCGCTGATCTTCAAAAACATGTTCAATTCAAATTCAATCCTGTTGCAGAGGTGCCAACCAGTAATGATTTAATTTTATTTAGTACAATAATAAAAGTGGAATACGATAAATTTTTTTTTAATATGTTTTTTTAATACCCATAAAAACCATGGAATCGCATTCAAACATGAGAAAGTAAACCCCCGCAGCCCCACCAAAAACTTTGCTTTACAATTTTCTTTAAAGTTTTTAATGAAAGAGCAAACATTTTACTTGACTGTACGTACCAGTATCACATTTTTCTGAAATTTTACTGGCCCGGGGCAAACCGGCCATTGGTAGTGTCGAGTTTTCTTGAAAATCTGATTTTTCTCTCCAAAATCTGATTTTTTAGGATACTCAGTCTGTTTTTTGTGTCAAGAGGTTGGCATCTCTGCTGTTGCTGCTAAGCTAAACTCTGGTGGATCACCCTGATTGTATATTGTACTTGTAGTTTAAGAAATTGATAAAGATATATTGACTGCTATGAGAGGCATGGCTGTTTCTATAGGCTCAAGGGGAAGTTACATCCTGCTATGACTCCTCTAATAGATTCAAAGTCTGATGCTTTGCTGAACCTGCAACTCGATACAGCTACAAGGTGCATACCTGTACATGATGAAGAGCTCTGCTAAATTTCAACCCAGACACTTCTACACATGTAAAGACTTACCGTAATTAACGGTGTATTAACCGCACCTTTTTGCCGCCGAAAAAAATTAAAAGTCAGGGGTGCGGCTTATACACGGTACACCAATTTTTTTTTTTATGTTTTGATTTATGCCCCTACACCTGGTGCTATGTCTGGCAATGTCTCCCAGCTCGGTAATCGGTGTGTTGACTCACCACTCAGAAACTTGAACAACACTCAAATTTGTCTGTCTTCTTGGTTTGAAAGTAATCTTCCTGATAGATCTCAATATGTAGTTTATAATAATAATTCCTCCAATTTTTCTTCTATTACATGGTGTACCACAAGGTTCTATCCTTGGTCCCCTACTGTTTTTTAATTTACATCAATGATCTTACACACACAGGGCGAAAAAGAGGGGTGCTGTTAATACACGAGGGCGGTTTATACAACGTTAATTACGGTATTCATTGCCACACTTTAGGAAAATGAAAAAATGCTGCAAACTGCTACTTTTTTTTGGGGGGGGGGGGGAATGTAACCATCACCCTCATTTCTGGTTGTGTGAATTTCTAGGAATGGCAGATTGTATGCCTCTTCCCTGTTCTCCATCAAAGTTGCATTATAAGGCATATTCAGCGGTATCTTCAGGAGACTTGGTTGTTTAATAGAATGTACATGTACAGTGTAGTCTTTAGTTTTTAACAGAAGAGAGAATAAATGTTGTAGTGCAAGGTTGGGTTACATTTATGATTATCTAAATCAAAGATATCTATCTTTAACGGTCAATTCTGGCAAATGTCGATTAACGTGAGTTTTGATTGGTCTAATGAATGTATTGAGTAATTCATGTACATCATCTGTAGAAATGTACATGTATATTGGTCGAGATACAACATACATGTATATTGTCAAGATACAACATATATTGTCAAGATACAACATACTGTACATGTATATGTATATTGTCAAGATACAACATACATATGTCTATTGTCTCACACATTAATCATTACATCAAAGAGTTCAAAAGTTGATTGCCCCTCTACAGCATGGATAAGACCAAATATCCAACCTTTTTTCATTATAACCTTACGTTTATTCTCTATTTGTTATTCTTTGTAATATGTACATGTGTGGGACACATACTGAATGAATATATTGGACTCCACCCACATGTAAATGGGTCCCTGGTATGCTCGAGTGCTGCATATTTGGCCACTCGGATATGAGGGGTAATGATGCTGGAGTACCAGGGGGGTGTTTCACAAAGATCCTAAGTTGAGCTTATCTGGTATTTGGACTTAACAATTATGGAAAGCCGTTGACATCTATGAAAATATTTTGTAAAAGTTATTTTAGAAGGCAAAAAATGTTGATTCAAATCATTCATATTTTCTATTATCAAGGAGATTTCATGTTCTTGATGTGGAATTTATAAAAAGTTTAAAATTTTTGCTTTTGAATACATTCTATTTAAAGGCTACAAATGGCTCTCCATAAATTTTAAGTCCAACTTAAAGTTAAGTTTGACCTATATATTACATATAAGAAGCCACCATTATTATTATTACTTGCTTCATCCGGTTATTTTTTGAACCCGTAGCACATGGGAGTCAGGCCGACATGCCATTCTAAGTTTTCCTCTCATTTTAGATTACAGTGAACCAAGTCACTTTCTTTTTAAATTACAGGGGGAAAATATATGTATGTTTATCCGATTAAAGGGCAATCCAACCCTTGTAATAAGTTGATTTTTATGAAAGCAGAAAAATAACAGAAAAAGAATGGCATATGTTTGAAATGAATCGGACCAATAGTAAGGAAGTTATGAATGTTTGAAATATGAGATCACTAAGTCTATGCGAATCTCAAATTGGTAGTTCGGTCAGTGGATTGTGACGTAGGACGTGGATAACTCTCCCATTGCCGTGTACAAAAATATTAATTTCTGTTTCTCTCGTAAGTTCCTTTTCCCTTGGGGGAACCATTCAAAATATTTGATAGATAGCATGTTATTATACCTGTAGCTCCTCTCAAAAAGTAAAGACCCTCCTGAGCATCAAAATTTTGCAGAAAAAAATAAAATATTTTTACTTTCATTTTATATGTTTTAACAGAAGGGAAATTAGTCCGGCACTACATCACATTGATATAACCGCTTCAGCCAATTTGAAGTGCCCTTAAGTATAGTGATTACAACTTAATATGTATATGTAGTCGGATTTAGTTGAAATTTTCATCACTTTGCTACTCTGATTTTTCTGCTTTCTTTTTATAGAGTAGTTGTCTATTTGGGTTGGATTGCCTTTTAAACATGCATCAAAGCTTCCACCAATCGTGCTAACTCATGAAATAACACAATTTTTATCTCCATCTCTTTTGCAACAATGTGCGTAGCCTGATTTTTATGAAGTTAACTGATCCTTGGAGCAAATGCCTTCTCAAGTAACCAGCAAAGTAAGGAAATGAGTGGATACCATGTATATATCACCCCTTATACTCATCCTCTCCATTTAAAATATCTACATGTACATGTAGTCAGAACTATGGGGAAAGCCCCTTTGAGGAAAGCCCCTTTCTTACTGTCATCACTTGGAAAGAATTCCTGGGGACCCTTTATGGTTTTCAGAATGCATACATGTACATGTACCTTCTGTACTGGCATGTCCTTTGGCGGAGACAATAATAATAATTCAGGGAAAAAAATACACGGGGGGGCTCGGAGCGAAGTAGCCCCCAAAATGCCAAAAAAAGCCCCGAAAGTCATAAAAAAGCCCCCCAAAATTGCATAGAGTTCAATGCAAAACAAAATAAAGAGTGTTATTTTCATGCAAGCAAGCTTGAAAAGTAGCCCCCCTATTTTTAAAATATTTTTTTTCCCTTGGCGGAGTTCTGGAGACCCTTTTCTTTAGATTTCTTTCGCCATTTTGATGCAGCAAGAAAGGGGCTTAATCTTTAATAAATACATACAAAATATTTTTGTGTTGCCGTATCATTCATACAAATCTTCCATTGTCTTTTTGTCTATCATTGTTTTGAAATACATCAAGTACATCTGAAGGTGTGTCCTTTCTCATTCAAAGATCAATACATGATTTTTTTTTTCTGTTCTTAGCTGATTTGAATATCTAAATGAAGCAAGATGATGATTAATACTCACCCATTCAACTCCTGTACTGTGGAATAATGGCATCTGAATAAAGGCTTTTTCAGATATGGCGTTAAATTGCCGCAAAAAAGCAGCGTTTTTTAATAGTGTAAAATGAAAGGCAACTGCGCCCAACAAAGAAATTACACTTGTGCTTATTCACTGAGCTCTAAGTTATAATATCGAGAAATGTGTTTGCATATTACACGTTACGTCATTAAAAAAAAAAAAATCTGCTCCTGTTTTGCCGCATCTTATATCTTATCTGAACGAGCCTTAACCATTTTGGAAGTATATTTGAATTTTAACTGTCTTACATCTATCTGCATGTAGCTGTCACAAATGTATTACAAAAAACGATAATCATCTAAGGGAATACAATATCAAGCAATGACACTGTATTCATTGCATAATAGTAACCAGTATCTATTTAATAAATGAATAATTACAAAATAGAACTCCTTTGCTTCCCATAATATTCAGAATTAATATATACAAGTACATCTTTAACTAACATTTAATTTCAACTTCGATCCTAATTTTTACCCACTGGTTTTCTGAGCACTATTAAAAGTTTAAAACTAAAGCAAAGTACTAATATTTCTTTTAAATATACTAGCTTACACCTGTTAAGCCTTTCTGTTAGATGGTTCTGAATGATTATTAAAATTTGCGCAAAAGCTATGAAAAGAATTGTATGAATGTTGAAAGAAATTAATTCACCTCTATTGTACTTAATCATCATTTAATTGTCGTTCGTAAGAAGTTAAAGATAAACTTGAGTTCTGGTAAAAAAAGAAAATGAATTCTCACAGAATCTAAAGAAACTTACACTGAATGTTCAAGATTACAAATAAATGTCATGTGCCAAACAATTTTGGAAGAAAATGTATCCTGGCTGAGTAATGAGCATAGAAAGATAAGGAAATCAGGGTAGTACTAGCCCTGACACCGTGTGTGTTGTCCCATATACATCTTTCTGTGTAAGTGATTGTAACTTTACCAAGACTCTGCCAAATTCATGATGATTTTGATGACTCCAGAACCTTGCATTACACACCATTACTTACATGCTATGATCAACTTTTCTGATCGATTCCACACCTTTTCTTTCACAATGCAATCGCATTACCAGAACTCAAGTTTATCTTTAAGTGACATTACAGTGTACATCATTGTAGAGATACACATTTAATCTCTCATTTGTAATCACAGTGACACTATACATACATGTATCATCTGTTTGGAGCCAGAAGGCATTAACTCTGTGTAAAATGATATGAATTATGGCCCTTCTGGCTCCAAACATAATAAACTGTATGTTGCAAAATAAAATGATTCTCACCTAGTGCCCTTATCAAAATTTATCTTATTTATAACCAAGGTGCAAAAAGATAAACGAAAAGAGGTTAATATCAGCAGTTTCCAAGGCCTTGGGGAAACGAATATTGTTTGTCACACAACCTGAGTGAAACTGTCATAGTGGAAGATTTACATGTACTTGCCTAAACATTGTACACTTTTTATGTATGAGTAACATCTAAAGGATTGACTTGAGCAATGAGTGATTTTGTAGCAGTGGAAATTTCTTTAAGAGATTTTGTACAAAAAAAAGGAAAAGTATATTACCGGTATGTACAAGTAAACATGCAATAAAATGTTCACAAGTGTATTTCAATTTTCAATACTTCAATTTCAAGTGGGGTAGCTCATGCAACTTAAAAATACCTGGTAGTGTCACTACTAACATTTACACTGGGGCAAACCAAAATGGTTTCTTGCAAAAGTATTTTCAGGCAACTAACTACATTTGTACATGGTATAAAGCACTGCTCTGAATTTATGTAAAAGAGCATCTTCCTCCTTTCTTGTGTATATTTTTGAGAATATTTAATGCTTTGCTCTGATACTTTTTTCTTGTTAACAACATCATATCTATGTGTGTTTTTGCTGTATCACTGGTGGGAATAGCAACTAACAACTTGACAGCAATATTGCTCTTTATTTCAAACATTTAGCTCAAAGCAAATTTTCTTTGCTTTCTCCTGCAGTGGCTTAAATGTGGTTCTAACTTTGTCAATATTCTCCAGTTATCTCCTAAATAGTTTTGATTCAGCAGTGTGTGCTAACCATCTTCCATATATTCATTCCATACTTTCTATTCTAATGTACATGTACGTGTATCTTGTAAGAAAGAACATGTACTCTTGATGTTTTGGACTGTATCATTTGACATTTTGATAATTAAATATGAATTCAATAGCTTAGCTGTATAGAATTATATATGGTTTTCGGCTTTATGTTCTCATATATGTAATGAATTGTTAGTTTGCTAGATAGCATTAGGATTGTTAAATCAGACTTGAACCATTCTTGATTTTTAGCTTTTCATTACCATTTTCAAAGAAAAAAAGTTATTTTCTACTGAGGGCTAGAATGGCATTAGCTCTATGTGAAAGAATATGTCAAACACGTAATGTCTACCATATTCCATCCGATGTGATCTCACCTCATCCATGTCCTCATCCTCCTGTAAGATGCATTCTTTTCATCTTGAGAGAGACTGCTACCAGTATCATTCTCCTCCAAGGAATTATCCTTCTCCTAGGAATCATATTTCTCTTTGAGTTTCCATCATGGTAGCAGCCATTTACCCATACTTTGTCTTGTCTTGTGCCTCTCTGTCGTTCCTCATACATGTACCTGTTAAAACTTGAAAGGGCAGTATTGTTATCAAATTGAACCCGATACTGGTAGGCTTTTGTGAAAATCAGAGGGACTAAAAAGTTAGTCTAAGGTTTAAGATTTCCTTTGTTAATTAACATGATTTTAGATCCAGGATCAGGTTTAACAGAATTGGTAGAATACAAACCAAAACATCTTGCTAGCCATGATTCTATCAATCATTGAGCAATTGATTCCCACCCACTCTCCTAAACTCAATATCTTCTCTTGATTTCTTCTCATGTACAACAGAGTTACAACTACACTCTTCACTTTTGCAATGGTTCCTTTATCCCCAAGGGTTGGGGATTTTTTTCATACAAAAAAAGTGAGATAAATCTATATAAATCTTTCATTTTCAAAGGAAAATCATGATGGAAATCATAGGGTTAGCATAGATTTTCATCAATCAGATCCATTTGCATATCCTCCTTTAACTTAGATGTTTCTAAATCCTTTAATGCTTTCTCCTTGTGACTTCCTAACACTGCTGCTGTACCACAGACCGCTGTAGAAAGCTCCTCTTATAGTTTCATTAACAAGACACCACCTGTTGTTTTCTTCCCCCACCTCTCTAATGATTTCTCCTTTCCTCCTAATCTTTACCTCAATTTGTGTATTTCGAAGTAGTCGGTTCACCTCAAAACCCCTCTTGTCATTCCGTTTGAACGACAATACCCTTCATTTTCTATTCTGTGTCATTCTGTAAACAGTAAAGTCCCCCCCCCCATCTCCTTTGAAACTGTGAAAGTGTGAGCTTCGTCCCCCTTCCCTCACCCTGTTCCATTATGCTTGACACATAAGTTTGGCTTTCCGTCCAAGTGACAACACTCCATTAAGTTTTTTGTGGCTGCCTGTTAAAATTAAATGCTCTTTCCCTCCCACTCTTACTGACTCTTACAAAATTTATAGTATCCTGGCCCATGATATATGCATGTATTTAGGTAGAAAAGCCCACCCCCCCCCAAAAAAAATGTTACTTCCTTTCTTCTAATACTCTATCAAGTTAACGCACTTTGTTCCCACCCCTATGCGTATACATGTAGGTAAAATTGTAGCCCCCCCCCCCCTCCCCAAACCCAACCCAACTTGACCCTCTCCCACCCAACCTCACCCTGTCCCCCTTGCTTGACCCACTTGTGATTCCACTCTCCCTCTTTTTTTTGTCTCCTTGTCTCTCTCAAGCAAGTAAAAACTTTCCCTTTAAATAGTTAAAACACTTTGTCCCCACTCTCTATGCGAATACATATAATTGTAGCCCTCCACCCAACCTGGCCTGACCCCCTCCAACCCAGCCACACCCAACTGTTCTCCATGCTTGACCTTCCTGTGATTCCATGTGATTGACAATCTCCCTCCTTGTCTCCTTGTCTCTCTCTTGCATGTAAAAAATTCCCCTTACAACACTTTGTCCCCACCCTTTATGCATAAAGGAATAATTGTAGTCCCCCCCCCTCCCCCAGCAACTCAGCCTGACCCTTCCCCCATCCAACCCAGCCTGACCCTCCCCCTCCCATTGCCTCCAACCCCCGCTTGCATGACCCTCTCGTGATTCCATGTGACTGACACTCTCCCTCTTGTTTTTCTGTCTCCTTGTCTGTCTCTGTAGGAGTTGGAGGCGACCCGCAATGCCTTGGAAGAAATGGGTTTTCTGTAGCTCCTTACTCGACCTTCAACCTCCTCCTCCTCCCCCTTCTCCTTCTCAACCCGCTTACTCCGCTAGCTGTACAATGTAGTCATACCTGGATAGAAAGTCCGCCCAAGGGAGAATCAAAGCAGTTTTTAAGTTTAGAGGTCTTTGTATACAGGTTCTTGTGGTACATGTAGAACCAGTGCTTTAACGACCAAATGCTGGTGCTGTAGACAATTAAAATGCATGTAAGCTAAGTTCTAAGTTACAATTCATCGGCTACCCTCAAGAAGGCCCTTGCTGGTGTTGACAATACATACATATTGCCCTTACGGCCTTCTTGCGGACAGTCAACGCATTGCCTGTCTACAGTGTATGTCAATATGAAAATGCTGTACAGGAAAGATGTAAAAAGAGGGAATTGTGACAAAATGATTGCAATTTTCATCAATGTGCTCAGTGTTGGTGCTAATTAATGCATGAATGTCAACTGCCCCTCTTCTCCACTCTACCATGTGCCACTGACATTAACTAAAAACAATTCTTTTCAAATCTTTCATGTTACTTCTTCATCATGATTTTTTTTATGGATAATTCTTCAAAGCATCTGTTTGGAGCCAGAAGGGCGTTATTAACTCATATACAGTCAAACCTGCTTTAGTGACCACCTGTCTTGAAAGACCACGTTTTTTGTTTCCCTTGAAAATGGTTTCTCATTGAAACATGTACTAAAGGAACCTGTCTACAAAGACCAATTTTTGTGTTTCCCTTGGGCGGTCGCTATAGACAGATCTGACTGTAATTTTACACAGAGTTAACACCCTTCTGGCTCCAAACAGACAAACCATGAAAAATGTATAGGAGTGGATAAATCATATCAGCGTTGTGCTCTTCAAAATATATTCAATTCTCAAGATCTAATAGACTGTCATTATGACTTTACAAATACATCAAACACCAATCAGCTAGCTAGACTTGAGCTAGGTGTACACACTATGAATATGACTGACAAAGAAAGCGGACAAAATATACATTTCCTCAGGTACACAAAGGAACATCCCTTCACTGCTATTATGTAAAAATATGTAGAACAGGTGTCACATGCATATTCACCTTTTTACATAATAGCAGTGAAGGGATGTTCCTTTGTCTACCTGAGGAAATGTATATTTTGTCCGCTTTCTTTGTCAGTCATATTCATAGTGACAGACATGTAGAAGATGATAGATAAGAAGAATGCTAATTGTCAAATTACAGTAATATTTCAACAGATCTATGATTTAGTCTTTCATTACGTGTAAGCAGCAACTAAATGTCATTGTCACAGGTGAAAATATTGGAGTGAATATTGATGTTTCAGCTTAAAGATTAATTATCAAATTTTAAATCATATTTGTATCGCACATTATATCAAATATATCATATTTATTTTATAATTATCAACTAGAAATGATTGCGTATGATTACATGTATGGTGCAAAAAGTGTTAATCATGTAAAGATGTATTTTACTATTGATAGAAAGAGACATTAGTTTCTCTATTTGTTTTGTTTTGTTTATGTTATTAATAGTGATTTAGTTAAAGGTCTTTCATTACCTTGTGTAGCTTCTATGATAAAAAAAAAAAAAAAAATGGCAGCAATATATATTACAAGAGCAAGGGATTGTAAAGTGTGTTTCTCACCTTTCAACCATGCAAATAAAAATCCATAAGTTGCAAAGGTGAGCTTTTATGGAGATTTGAAACTATTTGGTTTGTATGAATAGGAGAGAAAGGAAATATTGGGTGCGATAGTCCCTTACAAACCATTTTTTTTGTGTGTGTTAACTCACATTGCCTTATGTGTAGGCAAACATTTAAGTTGTTGATGATTGTAATCATTGTAAATGTCTGCATTTTTTGTAAATTTTTGCAAATCTTTCACAAGTATGCAGTTGAACTCCATTATGATGTCTTTAGCCTTCATCATATTTTGTGTTGGTACTAGTTACTAGAACTACGCCTTTCCAGCAAATTACCGAGATCTTCACTTTGGATATAGGGAATATGTAACTAAAGAAGTGGTGTTAAGTTTTATGGTAGGCATACAATGCTTTAATTTGCCTTGAGTATGACCAAAGAAATAATTATGATGCAAGGTAAACTATTCTTTAGTATAGTCTGTTCAGAGTCATAAGGGCATTAATTCTGTGTTAAAATAAAGGGTTAATGCCCTTTTGGCTCTAAACAGATGTTGTGATGTATAAATCATATCATTCCTGCCTTGCAGTACTACTTCCTAGCCAGATTTGATGTTATTGTAGTGAAATTGGTGAATGTAATCTATGGTTGTTTTTCACTTGTATTAAATGGTATCGTAGAATACCTTCAAAGGGTAATTTTTTTTCTTTTTACCCAAATTATGTACTATTTGTAGGCACTACATAATTTGTAGAGTGTATGCCCACAGCTGTAAAGACTTTATGAACACACAGTGGTATGACTGGGCACCACCTGAAGTCTCTAAAAAACAAAACACCAGAAACACAAAAAATTAAGGGGAAAATAGAATTTGGATAAGGAAGCTTTTTATGCTCCTGAGTACAGTGTTTTGTCAGGAATTTGTTTAAATTTACACTCTCCAATCCAGGGTAAACATGCTTATGATGCTTTCTACAATAATGTCTTGAGGGTAACATGTATGTTCAGGTACTTTGCTCCATTGTTAGACATATGTTTGTCAGTTCATTCAATCAAGATTAAATTGTTGAAAATGTACTATTTCAAAAATGTTATGGGTGACAGAAGTGTTAACATTGGCGTTTTAATTTGACCAATTCATGCTATTCAAAAGATCTGTGCCTTCATTTCAACATTATTTACTGCCTTATCATTAAAATATATTGGCACTAAATGTATTTTGGATGCTTTGGTACAGTGTACATTGATTGAGATTCTTCCACCCTCCCAGGGCTTGTCTTCGAAGATGAAAATGAAGATGATGATTATGATTGATGATGCAAAATGATGGTGGCGATGAGGATGATGATGGAGGTGATGATGGTGATGGAGGTGCTGATGGTGATGAAGGTGATGATGATGACAATGGTGATGGTGATGGTGATGGTGATGGTGATGGCGATGATAATGGTGATGGTGATGGTAATAATGGTGTTGATGATGAATGATGGTGATGATAATGGTGATGGTGGTGATGATGGTGACAATGGTGATGGTGATGAAGATAACGATGAGGGGATGATAATAATGGTGATGATGATGGGTGGTGATGACAATGATGGTGATGATGGTGTTCACGATGATGATGGTGACGATGATGATGAGAGGATGATAATAATGGTAATGATGTGATAATAGTGATGCTGGTAGTGATGATTGTGGAGACGAGATACTGGTAATGATTATAATTTTGTCCATATTATTGGTTTTGATGAATTGATGTTCATGATATAAGAGATGATGATGGACATACCGGTAACGCTGGTTACCTTGACGATAGTATGTTGATGTCATAGTAATAAACAAATGTTGATGGTAGAAATATGGATTGGTACATGGGTAAGTAATGAAAGTGGTGATCAATTTATCATGCTATTAAGTGCTTTTAGTGCATTAAGTGCATTTTGTATCTACAGTATGTAATACAAATTTTTATGCATTGATTCATTAATTTTCTGTAAAAAAAAGGGTGCAGCTTTTTAAATTCAATACACATTCTAATCGTTCATTCGTGCTCGAATCAAACAGTCATGGGCCTAATCAGGAAACATCGTTAAGGGAATCTTTATCACAATCTTGTATATTTTCTTCAATTAAACAGGCTTCATTAATGGTATGAAAACAATAAACATGTACATTGTGTAAGTGTGCAGTGAAGCTGTTTTGGTTTGCTGAAAGCTATTTTTGATTCTATTCTTAAAAGGTACTTTTTAATTCTAGTTAACACCCTTCTTACTTAATGCATCTAATAATAAATGACATCTATTTTGATTTGTTTAGATTTTCTTTTATAATTACATGTAGCATGTATTATTTTTTTCTTCACTTTTATTTTATTCCGTTCCTTTCTCTGTGTAGCGTGTGTATGATCCAAATGTAAGTTCAAGTAGAAAATTCCTTTTTTTAATTTCCTGCTTTCTTCTTTGATATAAATTTAGAAACCTTCTATTCAATTGCTTCTTACTTTTTTTTTTTTTTTTTTTATATCTGAGTGATTGGTATGTGTGGGTTCCTGGTTATTTTCACCATTTTTTTCTGAGCAGATTCTCCATTCTGGGACCTCTTGCATAAAAAGTTTTTGTTAAATACAACTCTGAAATTGATAGATCTTGATAGTGCTGTAGCTATGCAGATAGGGGTAGGGGGGGGGGAGGGGCTACATGCTCTCTAATTGCATTACATATAAAAATAAAGGGAAAGAGAGAGAGAGAGAGAGATCGACAAAGAAGGGATATATGACTGGGGGTTATAAAACCCGTCTTACATCCCCCATTCATCAACTTTATACACCTTGTATGGTGCCCCCTCCCCCTCCCAGTAAGTACCTTTTCAGTGCTACACTGGTGCTTTAAATATGTGATACTGATTGGTTGAAACTATTTTAAAGTTAATCTGCATTATTAAGTTAAATCTAAACAGTTTGTGCAAGATGCCCCTGGTCTATCAATTTTTCTTCTCCTTTGGAAAACTAGTATGTCTCTGTTTTTCTTTTTTTAAATTCTTGTACTGAGGAAAGAAAAGCAATGAATGTATAGTTATTTGTTCCAAAAGGATCTGATTTTCAATTAAATGTATTATATTCATTTCAAGGGTGGGCGTTTTGCCTTGAAATTCAACAGATTATTGAGCATCAAGTCCCAGCAGACCATGATTAACAAACAATTATTTGTTTTAATTTATAAGACCCTTGACGAGTAGTAGCTACTCTCTAAGAAATGTCTAAATTACTATTTTTAACAGTATATATATGCCTTTTATGGGATGGTGTGGGCACTAAAAACATACATATGACATTGTCTTGTATATGACAAATATATATTCCCCTGTATAATATGTATATATATGAAATTTACTAATCCCCCCAACTTTCTGTACTCATTAGATTGCCTTTCAAATGGAAATTCATATCTCTGCTAAGACTTATATCCGCCTTTTTCTATCATTATCCAAATGAAAAACGTAGGCAAAATTTCTACACTATAACCCTATCTCTACAATTTCATTCTCCTTTGTGGACTTAAAATGGGATTCAACGAAATATGGTAGCTTTATTGATATTTTGAAGTCTATTACGGCTTTGTGTGGGTATGCATGCAGGTTTATATTGTATTTATATTTGAATGTAAATGTACATATAGGAATTTATTCAAGAGGCAACACAATCGCTTGCTTCAACGTTTGATGATAATATAAAGAAATGTCTATTTAATATCTCAGAATGCTTCCTACATGTATGTTAATGATCAGCATGTTTCAAAGGGAGTTCAGATTTTTAAAACCAAACCAGACACGTTTTCCTATGCATCCTTCAATTATATTTTATTATGTTGTGTCTGCAGACTCGGCATCCGATTCACTCTTTTGGGAAGTGCATGTGGGCTACCAAATACTAGTTATTACTAATGCAGGAGAAGGAGAAGAAGAAGAAGAAGAAGTAGAATAATGAGAGGTAGAAATAGAAGAAGAAGGAAAATAAGAAGAAGAATTTAGAAAAAGAGCAGAAAGAAACAATGATTATAACTTTTGCTGCTACTTACTACTACTGCAACTACTAAATTACGACAACAGGAACAACAAGTACTACTATGTTCTTATTTAAATTTCCTTTTCTTTTCTTCCCTTTTTCCTTCACAGGAGACGGAGGTTAACAAGAGTGTTCTGGAGGAGCTTGGTCTTACATAGATGACTCGTCAACTAATTATCAACATTTCCAAGTCTAATTGCAGTAGTGGACCCCGGGGGGCCATGGAGAGCACCCCCTCCCCCCCCCCCCCCCCCCCCTCCTCGGCAAAACCTTTATAAGGTATAGGCCTATCGGGTTTTTATAATGCCCCTTAAATGTAAATATGCCCCCTAAAATGTGCTGAATTTTCATATTTAGCTTCCAAAGACTGTTTCTGTGCACTCACTGTCCTCCTCATTCTTGCCTCCCTGTGAAACAATCTTTGAGATACTTGGCCTAGTTCACACTTCAAAACAATAATGGGGCAAAAAATAATGACACAGTGCACTAGCTGCAGGGGGCCCTTGATATGTGTTCATACTTTTTGTTTCACCCACACTTCCCATTCATTTACACATCATTTAATTTCTATTTTGCTGTGACGTTCAATATTGTAAGGTGGTTTACTTTGTCATGTCTGAACACAAGTTAAACAGCGCCATCTTGTGGAAAAGTATGCACATTTAGTTTCAGAGATCATCATACCAAGTTAAATCTCTGTGATCATACTGTTGTGTGAGATGTAATTCATAGGGGCAGCTTTCAGCATACTGCATGGCCCATGACAACAATGTCATCAATGTCATCAGTAAAATGATCTGGAAACCCAATCAGAGACTTGAAAAATCTGCTCTTGGTCCATTTCAATATCTGATTGTATTGCCACTAGAACTAATGTTGAATTGTATATTAAAGTGATACCAAAATTAGGACCATGCATTTCAATATAATACGTGAGGCTATTGAAATTCTCGTAGAGTGGATATCTATAAAGTGAAATTGTGAAGTTAAATACCAAGAATTGTGAATCAACAGCAGCTTTAGAATATTATAACAATTATCAAAAGCTGATGATAGGGGAGGGGTGTATTCTCATTGTTATAATTGTATTCTGTTATTGCGTACATTTAAATTTAGTTTGTAACGTCAAATCTTAGAAAGGGCTGAATATATGTTCTTGAAAGAATCATTTGAAATATATTGGTGAAAAGGTGTAAGGATCAATGACTTTGATATTTCCATGTTGTAGAACATATTTTTGTGTTGTCATTTTGTAAATTTCTGTTGTATTACCAAAGCTTTTTAAGCATAGAATACTTTAAGATCATACTACGGTACTAAGCATTCATTATGTCCCTTGTTTGCGTTTGTGAAAATGTATTCTGGCTTGAAGTCACAAAATTGAATTCAAAATTGTTTTGTTTGTATTGTCATGTTTTCTTGTAGTTTGCGATTGGTTTAGATTATCAATATATATTCATTCCAGTTTTTGATTATTATATGGATTTAAAGCAGATAAAAGTTGTCAAAAATGCATTACTCATGAATAGTTTGAAGGAAACAATCATACACAGTTTTATCTAGTGTAGGGGTAACTTATCTTTGATATAATATCACTTTCTCTTTCTAGGGTTGCACTTTCTTCTGATGTATTGATTTTCTTTCCATAAACTTTTTTTCTGGTTTCTTTTCTTTGTGTCCCTCACTTCTGTCTTTCTCAGTCTATCTGTCTGTCTGGTCTCTTTCTCTTTCTCTTCCTCTCTCTCTCTCTCTCTCTCACCACTCTCTCACCCTCACATTGCAATATTCTTCCTATCTCTCTCTTTATCTCTTTTCCCCTCCCATGCCTTCTTTCTCTCTTCCTATTTTGTTTCATCTTTATCTCTTGCTTTCTATTTTGATTATACACTGTCAATTTTTAAACCATATTTAATTCTTTGTCTTAATCAAATGATATTCAATTCTTTGTCTTATCTAAATGTATCATTGATTAAGATATTCCCCTCTTCTGGATGAAATAAGAAATAAATTGCCATTAATCAGGTTGATGATAAGAAAAAATGATGAAAGATCTTTTTTCTCTTAATCCAGATCATCATTCATGACTTATTTTGTGTAAACATTGTCAAAAAATATGTGTTATGTCAAAATAAAGATGAAAGATTACAAACGATTGTACTGTGTGGTATATATCTACTCATTGGTATCTTACACAGTGAAACCTGTACACATAGACCACCCAAGGGAGACAAGAAAAAAAAAAGGTATTTTTAGGCAGGTGGTCTTTATGGACAGGTTTCTTTAATTCAAATTTTCATGTTCAATTTTTTCAAGGGTAACGAAGTACAAACACAGTGGTCTTCAAAGATGAATGTGTAAACAAGAGAGTGATGAAAGCACACACTCTTGGTCTTTTGATAGTGTGAGTTTTCTCCTCCATGCAACAAATTTAAGAAAGAAAAAAAAAGAAACAAAAAGAATGAGGAGATTTTGAAAAGCTGATTGAGGTTCAGGTGAATCCTGCAGAGAACATAAAGAGCGCCATCTCTTCAAAACTACAGAAAAAAATGGTTCATTGTGAAAGGCCCTTTCTGATTGTTCCTTTCCCCTTTATATTAAGAAGTTTAGGAGGAATGAACTGAATGATGGGAGGGGGCATCTGTTTGCTAATGATGATGATGATGATGATGGTGACGATGATGATGATGATGGTGACGATGATGATGATGGTGATGATGATGGTGACGATGATGATGATGATGGTGACGATGATGGTGATGATGATGGTGACGATGATGGTGATGATGATGACGATGATGGTGACGATCATGATGGTGACGATGATGGAGGCGATGATGCAAAATGATGGTGGTGATGGTGGTGATGATGATGATGAGCTAGGATAAGGTGAAGGAGGAGGAGGAGGAGCAGTAGGAGGAGATAGAAGAGGAGAATGAGCAGGGGCAAGAGGAGTAGGAGGCAAAAGAGGGCATGATGAAGATGGAAGTTTGAGTCAGTAGGCCTAGTGTTGTTTTGATGATGATGGACAAATTTGACACGATGATGAATAATGATGATGATGGTGGTGATGATGGTGTAGGTTATGATGGTTTGGATAGGTGATAGAATTCTTGTAACTGCTGTATCAAGGTGTCATCGTGGTGTAAACAGAAATGGCTTATGGTAGTAGTCATGGTGATGATGTTACCATGACTTTTGATGATGGTAATGACAGTGATGATGATGGTAATATGATATTACAAAATAGATTTCACACATCAGTCAGAAGTGTAAAATGATGTGGTATTAGAAAGAAAATCAAATCATAAGGTGCTATCTTGGATTTCAACATCATGGCCTCAAACTGACACTAATAATTGCCTAAACTCGAAATCAAAACAAATAGGTCTGTATGCACGACTAGACTAGCATTAAAATCGCCCGTCGATTCTTGCCACAGCAACGGAGGAAAGGTGTCCTATTTTCGTGTTTTCATAAAGACAGATGAACCGAATGATGACACCTGAATGTGCCTTCGATATCAGCCACGACTTATCCAGTTCAAGGAACGCTGATGATGAATATACATGTAGTAATATCAGGTAAGATTGAAACTGTGTGTTTTATTGATGATGAAGTGCGAGAAAAGATAACTAAAACGAATCGCAACGATCGCCAGCGGAGCTCGCTGCATCTCGGCGCCAAGCTTCAAGGGGGTTAGACAACCGACGCTACGGTCATACACAAAGCGCGACCCTGATCAAGGACGAAACGTTTTGTATTGTCCCACGTACTGATATTGGTGTTGCAATATCTTGTAGATTATTTCTAAAAACTAGTCTGTAAGTCGAGATCTATGCATAGTTTAAGTGCTGTATGATAATTATCTGTAAGTATTTTGAGAGATCTTCTTGTATAACGATTGTAAAAATGTTTAATGGATAGGGTCTAATGTTGAAATTCTGAAAAAGAAGATTGAAGTAAAAAAGTTGTTTCGGGTCTAGAGTCTAGGAATTAACAAAGAGACCACAATATGTGTAACCAAGTGTGATTTCCCAATCAAAATAGGGCGCTAGTGTAGTTCTATATTCATTTTTTTAGCAGTTTAATATCCATTCTTAGCAAATGAATTTTATCCCAATTTTTTTACTAATTTTAATCATAATCATGCATTTTCCACCTGAATTTGGATCACATACGACATCGGGAAACCTCCGTTTAGGGCTTCGATGTCGACGTCGTCGGGCAGTATCGTCTCTACGCTGTAGTCCTGCACCTCAAACTGAAGCTATCAGTCCAAAATTATGCAGACTTCTCGTATGGTTTATGGTATCGCGCATACGAGAAGTCTGCATAATTTTGGACTGCTAGCTTCAGTTTGAGGTGCAGGACTACAGCGTAGAGCGGTCCTGAGCGACGACGTCAACATCGAAGCCCTAAACGGAGGTTTCCTGATGTTAAATGTGATCCAAATTCAAGTGGAAAATGCAATATATGATTATGATTAAAATTACTAAAAAATTGGGCTAAAATTCATTTGCTAAGAATGGATATTAAACTGCTAAAAAAAAATGGATACGGAACTACACTAGCGCCCAAAATAGGAATCGAGGTTGTCAGAATGAAGGATAATATTCTCATTATATTCAATAATTTTAGATATGATTTTTTGATTTAAAGATTTTTTAAGTATTGCATGTGATGTAGAACCTATTTGATGTCAGGGAATAATTTTCCTCAAATTTTTTGATTAGCAATTTCAGCCGATGGATCAATATTTCAAATGAAATTCTGTACATTTCTATGGAAGAAAACTGCTACACAAAAGATATTTTGTATAGCAGTCATGCAAAAATGCATAGCAAATTGCGATGCGATACCAGGAAAATTATTCCCTGGATGTAATCTAGATCTAGATTCTAAACACAATTAGATCTACTGTAAAAAAAAAGGAAAAAACATCTTATGGACTCGCATCTTGTGGGTATGATTTATTTACTGAAGAAGTAATGTTGAGAATTTCAAAACCTACAAGTCTACAACACATGAAGTATACACGTAGGCTCTAGGGTGATTTAATGGTCTAGTGCAGTGTGTTAGTTGTGTTTCTCGAGACCAAATCACTGCACGAACCCCGAGTTTGTTCCTGTGCCAGGCCAAGTCACATTGTAGTTTAATGCCAAAATTAGGCACACTGCTCTGATAAAAAAAAAGAATAAGCATCTTTTAAAAAGGATAATAATTGACATAGACCCTCTACATAATAATTAGTAATGGGATCATTTACCGATATGCTTCAAAGTCGAAGTTTACCATAAAAACTTCCTAATAAAAACAGTGACTATATATTTTGAGACTTCATGATTAGGTGACACATAGGATTTTTTTTCTCCAAAGATATTATAAATATGTACATTGTATGCTTTTGGGATTCATTTAGTCCTCTTCATGAATACGATGTTTTGCATAAAAAGTCTACGGCAAATATTTAAAGCCACAGATTCAGTTTGTTGTTGCTAGGTAAGACAAACATTATGGCTTGTCCTACCTAGCAACACATATTGTATGCAATTCAGATTCTGACCGTTAAAATACAATCATTCATAAAAGGTGAATGAAATAATTTGTAACAAGGCACTTATCAATGATTTATGCATTAAAATTGATTAATTACGTAAATTGCCTATTGTGTACAGAAGGAAAGAATCCTCAATTTTTATTTTTATTTAAAGTAAAGTCTGAAGGTAGAGACTAGTGCCCTTTGCCAGTGGCGGCAAACTGCAGTAAGAATGTTTAGTTACGTCTTCCACATACCGATGGTTGGTACTCATACAGCTACTTCAGGAAGTGCCGTTTGAAAAATGAAACCACATAGTCTTGGCATGAAGACTCTTTTAAGGAATCATAGATGATAGATGCACTCATTCATGTTGGCTATCAGCTCCTTTACACATTGGTGTATATGTCTTGAAAAATAAAATATTCTGTCATCACAGGGACACAGGCCAAGACCTATCTCTTTTTTTGATGACTGGGAGAAGCCTATTTTCTCAAGACAGGCATGTTGGTTGTGACTCTTTAGTCTTCCCCCAAACCAAACTTGAAGACATACAATTATATCTAGCTGATTGATTGTCATCAAATGTATACATGTACAATGTTGTACGTCAATGTGTTTCATACATGTGTATGTATGTCAGGTCATAAAACCCATTCAGTTTGTTTTCATATTCACATAGCTTGTTGTGTAATCTAAGCAAAGTATGCCTATCACACCCCCTGATCCACAAACATCCTCCACCCCCATAAAAATAAAATCAGAGTGAATTGATTATAAATTAATTTTATTTAAAAAGAAAAGGAAGAAGAAAAAAAATGAAGCTGTCCCCTTGCTTGAGAGATTATATTTCTATTGACCATGTCTGGATCAACCTTCTTGGTTCTATGTCTCAAGACACATGATTCAAGGCTTTGTTACGGATAGAATGCCATTCTTCACATGATTATAGAATGAAAGTTATTTTGTATGCCATCTGGTCAGAATAGGATTGAGACTGTAACTTGTAGTGATGGCCTAGTCTGCAGGCACAGACTCTGTGTGAATGTTTAGCAAAATTTGAGCCTAGCCTAATTTTGTTGGATACTGGGTGTGTCAAATACAGTTACGGTACATTTCTGTTCTAGTCTTGATTATATATTGTCCAGACCCTTCAGTGAGTTCCAAAGATTTGTGCCAGCAAACTAGCGATGACTGGTAGGGTAGACAATTGATTCTAGTCTACAAGCGAAGACTCTAATTTGACACCGTGACAAACAGCTTTGTGTCTGGAGTAGAAGCCTAACACATAGCAGCTGCAGTACAAGACCTCTAGGCTGCAACTTACAGTCTTGAATTTCAGACCCCATGTCATGCATTACGACTTTAATACATAGGTCTACGTCTGCGTTCGTACAGGGCTGTTAACTAGACCAAGCATGTTTTAGACCAGCTGTTGAGGATCAGCCAATGAACGTCATTGCCCGTCGTTGTGAAGTTGAGTCTGCTGTGAAATACGGTAGACGAGTCTCGATAAAATTCTCCACCACAGATAACCCCTGATGTGAACCCGCCATTGCTAATGCTATGTTCATAAATAAATACTGTATATTTTTCTTACTAGAATCAGGCTTCTGAAATGCGCTTCATCTAATCCCATTTTTCAGATTTTTCTAACATTTCTGTGATGATGGTCATTGTTGAAAAAATAACATTATCTTGTAATTTGGAATGTAATTTGGAATGTAATTTGGCCTTATATGAAATAATTTATTAGAAAGTAGTAATTATGTACCATGGAATAAATATGGTATTGTTTATTTTGCTACCCAAATAACTTATTCAATTCATTTTCATTTTATTTCTCATTTCTCCTACTGTTTCAAAGTTTTCTTGATAGGATCCATCAAAAATTTAATTTTGTTCTAAAATTGGTCATTTGGCATGATCAGGAATCAGGCTTCTGAAAAGCGCTTCATTCAATACCATTTTCCAGATTTTTCTAGCATTTCTGTGATGATGGTCATTGGTGAAAAAATAACATTATCTCTTTAAAAGTAATTTGTAAAGTAATTTGGCCTGATATGAAATAAATGATTTAAAATTAATAATTATGTACCATGAAACTGACATAGTATTGTTTATTTTGCTGCAAAGTCAAAATAACTTTTTCAATTCTTTCATTTATTCTACTGTTTAAAAACTTTCTTTAGTGGATCCGTAGATTTTTTTTTAGTTCTGTTCTAAAATTATGTGACATTACCCCTTCCCCCATTGGTCATTTATAACCAATCAGAACTGACAAAGATTTGTTCAACTTTTGTGATCTTTCGTATGCTTCCGTGATTTCACGGCTGCTTGTTGGTGTAGTCTACAAAGAGGAAGAGGGATTCCACAGGAGTTATGAAGGTCTTGTGTTTCTAGCACTGGTATGTGAGGGATGTATGCGAGGCATTCTGACAGGGGTGAGGGCAGAGAGAAAAGTCAAAACAGTCGTCGGTGGACAGGCCAGCGGGGCGGGGCGGGGTTAGGAATTTGGAACGAGTGAAGCATCTTGGTGATATATTGGGAGAGTGATAGTGCCAATTGTTTTTAAAAGTTTTTTTTAGAAGGTATTCTAATAATATTCAGATAATGAATGATACTAGGAGTCTCTGATTGTGTGAAGGGTGATGGTCTAGGAATTATTTTAGGATTTTACACGGCACTGATTTATTTGTTATCAAAGATTCGTAGATGTGAAAGTGGGCATATACATTCCACTGCAGTGAGAGATTGGTATGGAAGAGAGGAATAAGAGAGAGGGGAGAAAAGTGAGCGAGTGAGTGAAAGAGGGGGAGAGTAAGAGAGAGAGAGAGAGAGAGAGAGAGAGAGAGAGAAAAGGGGGGAGAAGGAAAAATTCAGATGGGGGGGGGGGGGGGGGGGGAGGGGAGAGAAAAGAGAGAGAGTGAGGAACGGTGAAGGGGAGGGGGGAATGGGGAAGAGAGGGAGAGAGAAAGACAGAGGGAGAAAGAAAGAGAAAGAGAGAGAGAGTGAAGGGAGAGAAAGAGGGGGAGAGGAGAGAGAAAATTTAGAAAGAGTGATAGAGTGATAGAGAGAGAGAGAAGGGAAGGATTAAATAAAGAGAGAGTGAGAGAGAAGGAAAGAGGAGGAGGATAGATGCTCAGGCATTCTGAAGCAGATTCCAATGGGGTTGAGGAACTTCCTGTACGTGAGCATTAGGAAAAATAGTCTGGGCTTGTGGAATCCGGGATCGTAGCAGTCAGTTGCGTGACAACCATTCATCGTAGAAGGTATTTGAAGGGCTGGCGTCAGTGGAGGCTTGTATGCCCGTGATTGCGACTGGGAAATAACATGTGATCAGTTGGTTGTTATAGTATGTGCATTGGTCAGTCAACTGGCGGGATATTAACGGCTACTCTGCGTAGTCCCATTCATACAGACGTTTTTATTTGGTCAATACTCAACTCTGACTTGCGAGGTGGGTAATGTTAGATTATTTTTTTTTGGTGAATCTAAAATGTATGTACACTATTCAGTTTTCACCATGTTTTACTATATATTCAAGTTATTGATATCGTTTATATTGTATGAATTTAGTGAAAGAAGTAGCTACATTTGTGTAAATGGAAGTTTCACTATTTTGATGTTTGAAATGAACATTGAAAATATTTATATGTACATGTACATACAGTATTAATTATCTGTTTTGCTTACATGTACAATTGATGAATTTTCATGATTTAAGCAGAGAAATCAATGTAATTTGAAAGTCATTAATTTAAATTTGATATTCTGAAAAACTAAAATAGTTTCATGAAGTGAATACAATAGCATGATTCACAAGTCACAACTGTAATTGTTTTTGGGGTTTGTGAAAATTTATTTTCTAACAATAATGCATCTGAAGTTCTGAACATATTGCCTTTTTGTCAGCAGATACTCTGAGTAATATACATGTAGTGCTGTGTTATTTGATGGTGACTTCCATTTTGTGCTTCTTAAAGATACAAAACTTATAATGGCAGTTGTGTAATATCCATCATTTGTTTCCCACATAGTCAATTTCAACTTCAGAAAATTGAGAATGACTCATTTGTTAGTTGTGGTTCTGTTTTTGCAATCAAGTTCAATTGGTCACATTCCACAAGTAAAATGGACCTGTTAAGACTGCATAAATTCCAGCTATTAGTATTGCATCTGTCACCATTAATTTATTTCTAAAACCCCCAAATCTACAGTGAAAAGTTTGTGGTATCAGGGGATTCGCAGGTTAGAAACTTGATTTTTGTAATTGTTATTGCAGAGTGCTGTTGTGAATTAAATGGTACGAGAAATGATTGAAAATACAGTCAGGTTTTTACAAATAAAATGTTTTGGCACAGAGTATTAATTTTCATTTGATTATAGATATGTATAGCAAATTTGTTTATCAGTTGTGAACACTGAGAAATAAATGAAAATACAGTCGGGTTTTAACAAATGAAATGTTTTCTCACAAAGTGTACATTTTCAATCGATTAAAGGCTAGTTGGAGTAGAAACATGCATGAAATATATATGGATACACATGTGAACTGGTCAATATTTCCAGTAAAATCTGATACAGAGTTTAATAGACAAATGAAAACCAATTTATGAAATCTGCATTTAGGTCTACATTATCTTGTAGGCCTGCATTTGTAATTATCTTGTGAAAGTACATTAAACCTTTTCTATCTCCCTTTTTGATATTTTGAATAGTCAATAATTTCTCTAGTTCTTTGGTTGGGAAGAGTATTGATTAGATGATAAAGCCACATGTATTTAAAAAATAATCTTAAAGTGAAATTCTGGGGCAGAAGGTCAAAGCTTGGAGAAGATGCCCTCAAATGGGGGATATATTTTTAGCAGGCGGTAAATTACTATCCCACACGTTTCGAGTTCATGAAGATCAACCAAGGTTGGAGAAAAGTCTTGAAGAGATTTGATGATGCCGACTGGAAAGGATGATGGGAAGTGCAGATGTCCCGTACAAAACAACATACATTAGGTCTACTTCATCCACAAGTGTTTCTGGTCAATTTCAATTTTTTTTTGATGAAATGCTCGCTACATATTCACTGCATTACTTGTACCCGTATTGAAGCCACTCTCAACTTTTTTTCTATGCTATATGACATGTTTGTACTATGAACTTGATTTCTTTCTCTTTACTCTCCTTTTTTTCAGTCACAGATTGGTGACATCTAAATCTTCTTTAGTAGAGACACGTTGTCCTCGACAGCTGAAAAACTTGTTAACATTCCTCTGCCTGGCTGAGAAACTTTGCTGAATCTGCTTTGTTTAATAAATCGTCCGTGCCAAGGCTGGATTTATCGCCCAGCGTTTTTCATTCATAAGGAAATCACTGCTGAAGGTTGTCTATCTTTTTGCGATGGGTACAGAGGTTTGCGGGAAGAGGTAAGGTTTGTTGGATATGACTAGTCCTCTGAGGAAGCAGCGAGGTGATCAAGGTATGAGACTTGGGAATCCTAGCGTGACTCTCTCCACCTGTGACCCTAAGCAGCAGCCAGCCTACCTGCAGCCTAAGGGAGACGGCTCGGGCTGGGAGAGCACCATGTTCCACAGACAGAACCTAAGCGACGAGCTCTTACCCAGAATGACCGGAGGTTCACTGGCCACCGATCCAAGGATGGCCCACCTTGGCGTGGGACACATCAACACCAGCTCTAAAAGCATGGATGGGTTGAATTCAAATGCAGGGGCTCTGTCCGCAGAGCATCCTGCGTTTGCACGGACAAGACAGTATCGGAGTATGTCCAATGACGATATGAAAACTGAGATGCTGCCTCAGAAGCGATTGCCGGGAGAACCGACCAATTACATGGAAGCGGCAGCGGCTGCGTTGCAGACTGGGAAGGGATCCAGTATCATTGATAACTTGATGAAAGAATATAGGAGTGGAAACCTGTATGCCCGTCAACCGGCGGATTTATTACTACCTAGTGCCAAAGAAGACCCTACACAAATGCCTGCACAAATGAAGACTGACCTCGCTCTGCACAGAGAAAACAGTGCCCCGCAGCTCAGTGCCTCAAGAGAGAGACATATGAAATCTCCGCCAGAATATCCAGGACATTCACGGTTTGCGCAGAACTTCGATCTTACGCCGTCCAGCACGCCTCGTGCATCATCGCCGCAGTCGGTAATGTCGGACATGGACTTTCCAACGGGTAGGAGCAATCGCAGTGTGTTTGGTTCCAGGGACACATCATCTGTGTTTGGAGACTTTGATACTAGTCTGAGCTCAAGGAGTAGAGGTAGGGTACATTCTCCCTTCTCGACGATGCATATGTCGGACTTTGATAAAGGAGCGCCTCCACCGGAATATCCAGGATTTAAGCGAACGCCGTGGCAGAGCCATTCCGGGCGGGAGTTCCGGTCTAGAAAGGAGAGTGCGACGGTCGACCACAGTCGCGCCTCCAGTTTTGGATCCTATCAGCATTCCTTGAACATGAAGAGGCTGTCCTCGGAGACTAGCTATGACAGCAGCAGAGCAAGGTAGGCCCTTCATGATGTCCCTACTATGCATGTTCCGGGGCTCCCCGTCCTACGCCTACCTGCCACTTGCATGGACGACAGCATGTCCCCTGAATGAGCATGAATTCACTAACCAGCTTTTATATCAAGCCTACACGTAAATGCTGTTTTTTTCTAACATTGTACCTGATAGAGAGATACAGAGAGAGAGAGAGAGAGAGAGAGAGAGAATGAGAATAACTGAATTTTATTATAATATAAAACTAAAATAATTCCTTCTTGAGTCTTCATTTTATCCAAGACACTTTTCAACGATTGTTGGAGACCATGCCTGTTGTGCATGTATGGAAACTATCACTGTGGGTTGTAGTTTTCATGCCTGACTTCTTTGTTTCTGTGACCTTGAATGGCTCTAACATTTGTTAAAAGTTATTTATATCATGCACATCTTACACGCACGACTACTTAAATGACATTATATGCCAGAAGGTGTTTAATTCTCTGCATGATTTGGGTGCCCACCGGCTTCCACAACAGACGTTAGAATACAATACTACTGTATGTTATGAAGAAAATTTGAGTGTGTGTATACCACTATATGCCTCTATGTATCTTGTGTGATAATAAAGGACCCAAAATTCGCTCTAAGTTCGGAGAACATGTATTTCCTGGTACTTTTTATTGATCCCGAGAGGGGAATCAACCTTGTATTTATCCTGCAATGTATTGTGGAATATACAGGATAGTTTGCATGCTTTTCTTTAGACCACTGCCTGTATCATACACCTTCATAATACTGCCCTATGTAACTTTTCCGTTTGTTCCTCAAGATTTTTATTTTGAATGTTCATTTTTGAAGATACGATGTAGTTCAATTGCATACCTGTAGTTGAAGGATAGCATGTATTGTATGAGATGGGTAGATGACGTTGGAGGTGTTCTATAGCTCGTCGTCATCGGCTGTTATGTTCAATCATGAATTAGACGTCAGCATTCCATAGATGTTCTTGATTCCCACATGGGTACAGAATGGACAAGTGTGATTGTGATGGAGTGCTCTAGTCTTCCTCACAGACTTGGAGATACGTTGAGACGTCTTTGATTCTCACATGGGTATAGAATGGTCAGGTGCGATTTGTTGTTGTTGTTTTAGTTTATACGGTAGGCGTTTGTCATTCAAAAGTGAATATTTACACCTCTTCTCTTAGGATTTTTTCTTCCCTTTAAAATTAAATTAATTAATTAATTTTTTTCACAAAGAGCACGGCAAACAACTACCCTTAAATGGTGATTTGATCACAAATTCAATAGAGAACTAAATTTAAAACATACTTGAAAAGAAAAATTTTCTCAAAAAGAATGAAATGCCGATAATACCAAAATAACCACCAAAAAAAATTCCTCCTTGTATGGAAAAAACAGCATGATGAATGAACATTTCTGCATTGGAAGTGTGTCGTGCGTGGTTGTAAATTTCGTTTTGATGAATTCCTTTTTTTTGCTTGAAATTCCTTTTTTTTTGCCATCATGATTCCTTTTTTTGGTCGCACAAGGTTGGCAGCTCTGGGTTTGTGTTTAAATTTCTTTAATTGACGTAAACAGACAGATAAGGGTGTTAAAGGAATGCCTAGGATCTTTGTTGTAGGCAGTTACTTTTTTTCCGTCCTCTTCATTCATGATTTCACAAACAAACAAAAACCAACAAAAAAGAAACATTGTGGTTTCCCTGCTTTATTTGTAACAAAAGCGCAAAATGAATCATTGGTCAAAGAGAAAGTTATGTGGTAGATAATTTAACCCTGCAGGTAGGCCATACGTGTGTTCTACCTGAACCCCTCCCTCTATCTCCTCCTATCTCTCTCCCTATATATATATATATATATATATATATATATCTCTCTCTCCCTATGTATCTCTCTTCCTCTCTCTCTGTGTCTCTCTCCCTCCCTCCCCCTCTCTCTCTCTCTCCCCCCCTCTCTCTCTCTCTTTCTTTCTCTCTTTCTCTATCTGTCTTTATCTCATTCTCTCTCCACCTACCTCGCAATTCACTCCGATAACATGCATGGTATGTTGGTCCAATGTGGACACCCTGTGTCTGTGACTCCCCAACTATTCGCTCTTCGCTCTTCTCCCTTACCTCTGCACTGGAGCAATACAGCCAAGTGTGTAAGGGATGAATGGAAATGACATGGTGGGAATAAGAGAGAGAGAGAGGTAGAGAGAGAGATAGAGAGAGAGAGAGAGAGAGATGGAGAGAAGAGAAGACAGGAAAGGAGAGGAGAGGAAGAGAGAGAAAGAAAGACCCACACTAACAAACGGGAGGGGGGTGGGAGGGGGGGGGGGGGGAGGGGTGCATACAAAGAGAGGGGAGGAAAGGGTTAATGTTTATTTTTTGTTCTCCCTTGTGCGATTCTCCAAATTATTAACAATGAAAATTAATTGATAGCTAGTAAGAAAATTAGTGGGGGGGGGGGTGGCCATGTCTCCGGGAGCTAAGCTGCTTTGAGCCCCCGTTTAGTTTTAACAACATTGTACATGATGCTTTTGCAACTTTCAACATTATTTATATTGGATAAGGGCTGATGTTGTCAAAAAGAAATTCCATGTAGAAAGTATAGTAAATTAATTTAAAACATACTGTGCCGCTTTCGTTCAGTGCAAACTTTACGTTTAGGTTTTGAAAGTGATTTGCATACCTGGCATTTCTGGCCTTCTCTTTTCTCTGTCTACATCTTCCCACTTTTTTTCTCTCCCTTCACTGCATTCCACGTGGAGAAGCTGCCGGCCAGAGAGCCCTGAAATATCTCACATTTTTCACTCCAATCTCTGGATGTAGATAGATCATGTGTTAGCTCTTTCCTGAACAGTTGCCATACATAATATTTAGAACAAAAATGCTGTTGATGTGGCGGAGCCCGAGTTCTTGTCTAGTTCATTCCTACCATTCCACGTCATGACATGAAGCCTACATTCTGATGAGGTTTATTCTTTCCTAAACTAAGCCTCGCTAGCTCCAATGTATCTGATGATGATGCATGTCACTAACAAGGACTATCGGCAAGGCTCCATGCACACTAACTTTTTTGTAGAAGGGGTCTGGATTCAGAATTTAGGGTCTACAAACTCTACATACATGCAGCCCTTGGTACAAATTAGGAATTTAAGGGGGTGTTGACATGATACTGATAGATTTGAGAACCCATGTTTCCTGACCCTAGTCAAAACAAAGTAGTCGAAAAATAGTGAACAGACAGCAAGAACCTTGCGCTATTTCGTCTCTGAAATACATTTTTCATATATCTTTTGTTTTAAATCCTTAGCCTAGAAATACATATTTTGTTCTTACCTTCTTCTTTCCTCATAACAATTTAGAGGAAAATAGTATAGTCTTCTAGAAAATACCATAAAAGTATAGAGAAAATAGCCCCATTCTTTTGTTTTTTGTTGTCAGGATGAAAAAGGAATTCAGGTAGTTGGGTCAATCAATACTCAGAATACTCTGTTAAAATGAGTTTCTACTGCATTTTTAGTAATTCTTACCATACCTCATGAAATGATGATGATGATAAGTTGCTATTAAATCCACATACCTGTACGTAAAACAATAGACAATTTAAACCATATTTTTCAGTGTAAATTCATTTCAATTGTTTATCTGCAACACCAGTACTGGGAGTACAATTGGAAGGTACTCCCGCAATGGAATGTAGGTCTGTAATGTAGCTACAATATCTATAGGAGATGCTACATGTAGGTACCTATTTATATATACAGGGCATGGTATTTACTTTGCATTCTTGTAGTGACTGTGTGGGAAGTAAACAGGGAAAAAGAGTATCAGATTTGACCTTAAATGACCTTGTGACCTCAAGTGACCCTCATTGCTTTTGCCTGGCATGATGTACCACTAGGTCTAGATGTGGTCAAGAACTAGGCCTATGTGTATACACTATTATGTAGGCCTGTGATGTGGATGATTTTTTAGTAATTTATATGTAGGATTTAGTGTTTGGTATTTTATGTGCTCTACATTGTATAAACCTGTATTGTAGGCCAAGACATATAATACAAAAAGAAATGAAAGGACACACTACAAATGGGTATGGGTGTACATGTACTGCTATTACCCCTTGTAAAAAGATAATTTTTGAGGGGGGTGTGCAGCTACATGTAGAATAAAAGAAAATAATGGGAGGGGTAAGGAGTTAAAATAATTGGCATAAAGCCCATTTGGGGAAGGGGGATGTAGGGCCTACAAGTATATTTACAACAGACAAATGGAACTCAGTTGGGACAGGGAAAAAAAATACACGGGGGCTTAGGGCGACTAAGCCCCCAAAATGCCAAAAAGAGTCCCTGAAAGTCATAAAAGAGCCCCCAAAAATTTTGCATAGTGTTCAATGCAAAACAAAATTAAAGAGTGTAAACTTCATGCAAGCAAGCTTGAAAAGTAGCCCCCCCCCCCCCCAAATTTTAAAATATTTTTTCCCCTGATTTGGGAGAAGTATGACGGGCATCTAATATACTCCTAGCATTAATATTTTCGAGGAGGAGGAGGGGGCTACACAGTCTGTCCTGAAGTCCGATTGGAATGGAATGTCACTGGGGGCATGGATCTCGAGGAGGAATGCGTGTGGTTTATTTTGGTAACTTCATTTGACAAATGCGGGCACATTGATGAGCAGTTTGTATGTTAACTAGGGGGATGTGGGACAGAGATTCCTCACATTCTCAGAGTGTAAGTGAATTAGAGGTGCGCTGTTCTGGCACCGCTCCGATCAGAGGGTTTGCGATAAATTAGGATGAATTAGTTTTGAAATGATATTTACTTTGTCTTAAATACTGGGACATCGCATACTGTACATACTAATTGTTTCATGTAGATCCTTCTTTAGTATACGTTTCAGGTTGTGCATAATTTAATTTGTTGTTACTATAAAGCCAAGTGAAACTGATTCATGGTTACGCATTTTCAAAAATTAGGTAATTATTTTTTAAATTTTTTATTCCTTTGTAATTTT